GGAATCAACTTTCCACACTAGTAGCCATCTTCCAAGTTCTTCTGCACACTGTATTTTTTTATGTAAATTTCATGCACAACTGTTCAGTGTCTCCCCCTCCCCTTTCCCCGCCAGTGTCCACTCTAACCCCTCCTAAGCCACACCCCTGCCAGTGTGGAAAAGTGTTTGTGAGTGTATGATTTTCAACAATTTGCATGGACGCTTGGCCGATTCCGTTTCAGTTTATTCCTCACACATTGCCTGCATAAATACATATGGGGATCCCCCCCCTTCCCCCCTGTCCCAACCCCCTAACCCCTTTCCCCTAGAAATTCCCAATTGAATATTACCATTACTCGATTGGAATTTCATGCAACGGCTGTCAGCTGAACTTCTGCTGCTAATTGCAACAAAATATTGAGTACAACAGAAATTTTATATATCAGACCCAAATAAAACCAGAGCCAATAAAAAAAACACAAGGCGAAGCAATGTGTGCCTACAAAAATAATGTCTATCCACGTCCCAACACTTTCGGAATGTTTTTGAAAAAAAATTCGGAAAAAAAATAATATTAGCACTTTCTCTTCCGCAAGTTTCCCTCATCTTTTATTGTTTTGGAAAATGTTTATGGGAAAAGGGCTGCAAAGGAGAGTTTATGACGCCACTAAAGAACCATTCAACATGCTCTGTTTATGACTGTTCAGGAACATATATGCGCATATAGTGAGCATCTGTTAAATTGTAAGGTACGGTTCAGAATTATACGTTCTTCATAAACGTATTCCTTTACCTTTATTTAACATGATTAAAAATAACTTGATCAAAAATATATCTACACCTTATATTCAAAGATATATATTCTACGGCTTTACATTCTAAACTGAAATCGCAGATCTGTATATCTGACCATTATATCTACAAATTTCGAAAGATGAGGAACTAGTCGTTAGTTGCAAACGAAGGAAGCCAAGAAAAGAGGGGAAAATCGTGATCACAATGTACGAGTATAAACATAGCATTCCTTTCATTCAAGTACCAAATGAGATTTCAAAACTGCAGAGGCAGCAACAATAACACTAAAGATGTGCAGGCATCTTTACACCAACAGAAATTAATGCCTAGCTCTTGGTTCTTATTTACTGCGAAGTGAGTGCATATAAATAGCATTTACATCAAATAAGTTGCAGGAAAATAAAGATGGGAGTAAAGAAGGGGGTGATATATAGCGATGGGTGAGTTCAGATCCTATGAAACAAAAGATTTAGAATCGATTAGGAGGAGCATTATTTGCTTCCACTGCTATTTGGATTCGAAAAATAACTTATGAATGTTTCTTTCCGGAATTGTTATATTTAGAAATAAGTACAATCATAGTTGACATTGTACCATTATCATCTTTCAAGTTTAACACTTCCCCTTCAATCTGGTTTAGAAATGTCTGTATCTGCTTCTGGTTTGAATACAGTCGATATGGATCAAAATCATATTCATTTCTAGTGCATCGATGGAGCAACAGCCGGAGCGGAATAGTTGGCCGACCAAAGTAGATGCCAACAATAAACAAAACGTTTTAGCAGTTGTTCCCCGGGAAAAGCCCGAAAGTCCCATTCCGAACACAACACAAAACAGCACAACAAGATCCCCTGACCTCCACTTTCCCAAAAAAACCCCACTCCGTCCCGTCCCGTAAGACTTTGATAGATGGAGCGACCGAAAGTTGCATTATTTACATTTGCATTGGTGATGCGAGGGGAATTCTCCGAGGCCAGATGAAATTTACACTTACACATCGCCTCGAATCGTATCGCATATATCGCATATATAGTATATATATGTATATATTCCCACTTACTCGTACAGACATATGGCATGTGTGGATTATGCATTCGCCGATGTGTGGACGATAGACCAAGTCCTACGATACGATAACATCCCACGCATTCCCACTGGAGGCCATAAATCTCGAGTTTCTGCCAGTCCACGCCACTCGGATATTAATAGAGTCGAGTGGCGGACTGGAGGAGTGGCGGAGTCCAAGTCGAAACTCCGGCTGATCCAATGTTTGCGCTAATTTATGGCGGCGGATCATAAAGCAACTTAATGGCACCAAACAACACTTGCTCAATAATGCCTGCTCCCCAAAAACAAAATCGAATGAAACCGAGAAAACTCGGGGGAGCAGCGTAAATCTGTTTATCGTAAATCTACTGGGTGGCACTTTACGATTAGGTGACCTCCCCAAATTGGTGACCCCAATTTGGGGCCCCAATTTATGTCACTAAATTGTTTAAAATCTAACAAATTTTCTATATAATGAGATGATAAGTTACTATTAGCATTTAAAATTCGGTTAATTTTAGTAAGCTTAGGATGAATTTCAATTTCTCTCCTTACAATCGATTGTATTTCCGTTTAATTACGAAAAATGCCTGAGTTTTTCACTTTGCAATCAGTGAGCAATAACGAGATGGAAGACAAAACAGGGCTTCCATGCAGTCTTGATTACTTAACATTCGCCTTTGTTCCACCTACAGATTGTGTGCTTTGTGCCCCAGCCCTTCGATATTCTTTAGCCAACTCCTAAGTCAAGTGGAAGTATATAAAAATCACATTTAGGCCAGCCAATTTCACCCTTTGTGATCCCCAAGTTGATCCTGAACCTGAAAACTAAACCTGCAGCTAGAGAAATCCTCTCGAGGGGAGGGGAGTCGATTCACGTTAAGGATGCAGGAGATGCACAACAACCAAGAGTGGGAGTGGGAGTGCAACAACAGCAACATGCAATTAAAGGCAATTCAAATGGGCCACGCCCATGCCAGCCATGTTGATGCAAGGACGAAAGGAAGGAAGGGAAGAAGGAGTTCCCAACATCCCAAGATGGGCAAACTGAATGGCAAGCAAATGCCTGAATGAGTGACAGTCTTAATTACAGAGAGATTAGCATTGGCCAGGAACTGAAAAGTGGAAGAAATCGAGGAAGAAGAGTCCGAGGAGAAGGAACAGTAGAAGGAGCAGAAGGAGTAGAAGGAGCAACCAGGATGCAGACGTATTCAATGTCACGTTCCACTGGAGGACGACGACTTAGACGATAAAGGGCCCAACCAGGTGAGCGCAGACTAGCAATGCCAAATGGCAGCTGGCGACTAGGAGCACCTGCACTGCAAATAATATTTAGACACGTCTTGAAGTTAAAGTGATTAAAGTGATTAGTCATTAGGTGATTAATGACAAAGATAGATATGTGCAGAGTGAATATTAATCCTTTCAATACTCGTAAGTTATTACTTCTAGATATTTTGGAGTAGCAAAGGAATTGAGAGCGCCCAACTATTTGCTTCAGTGGAGTTCCTGCTCCTGATCTTCCGTTTACTTCCTGTTCCTTGCACACTCCCCCGGCTCAACTTGAAATTCCCTTATACTTTTTTTGCAACTCTTTTCCGCTCCTTTGTTACATTTGATTGTCGCAAACGAAGTGGAAAAGCAAATGTTGCACAAACACACGCGGAATAGAGGGGGTTAACGCGGGCGGCAAAGGAAATGCACACTAATTACTCTTCGGCAGCGAGGGAGTGGGAGTGGGAGTGGCAGTGGAAAACCCTTCTTACTTTTCCGCCATTCTGCCCAGGCTGTTTCCACAATTTTTTCTTGGCCCTGCCTCGCTTTTATTTGCCTGGATTTTCTTTCTTATTTCACTCGCTTTTCCCCAAGAGCACCCGCTCCCCTTATGATAATTGAAATGCCGAGCGCCCCTGAAGGGGGTGCCAAGTCAAACACAATAACCCCAACCCCCCACATGCAAAATAAAAATAAAAATAATAGCAAACCAACAATATTAATAACTTGCCACACTGCGCAATCATAACACAAAGCGACAATTGAAATTACGATTTCGATTAAATTTCAATTGGCACTCGCACACTAAATAGACAACAGAGGAAATTACATTTTATGAATAACAACCCATCGAATCGAATGTAGCCTCCTGCTTTCAAAACACACTGTACTATATTTCCTTGGATGAACTTTGGATGAACTTTGCAACCGAGACAAAGGGTTTCGCAATAAGTTCAAAGTCAGTTGGGCTTTCGAAAAATCCCGGTAAATATTGAAACTGGATCTTGGATCTCCGGTTGCCAACTTTATGCCTTTTCTCCTGGCTCTGGCCATCTCTGAACTCCAAAGTCTGTCACGGACATTTAAGCCAAGTGCACACTTAAAGCGATTGCTCAATACATTTCCAGCTCTTAAAGCTCCTTGCCTTCCTTTTCTGAAGGGGGAGCAAAAGGGGAGGTCCCTGGCCCTTTACCTTTACCCACTTTGTTCGGTATTGCCAATCGCAGCTCATAAACAGGCCAACGAATAGTAGGATTTAACCAGCATTCTATACGATTCGCCCTAGATAATAACAGCTCTAGTTCGATTTTTTATGCAAAGGCAAATAGGTTTTAACCTAAAAAATATCTCGCATTGAAAGATGTACTAAACAATACTCAAGATACCTTTTGATCTAATCTGTGAATAAATTTAAATTTTAAATTTTCGCGCTTTCAATGTAAATCTTTTAGTTTTTACATTACAACCGATAAAAGCTATACTAAAGCTCTTTCATTCTGGTAAAATCGGTGCCCGCAACCAGTCCTTTAGCCCACAAGACCGAAAGCTTTTCCAGCTCTTTTATTGGTGGATAAAATCTAAGGCGCGAACTTTAAAACTTTCGTAGCATATTCATTTCGATCAAATTTAAAATCATCAAGAGAGAACATTATAGTCGAGGGCCACGACTATCAGATCCCCGAAATAATATTTAAACTACTCCAAACGCCATTTTCTCAATATATTTCTTTGCATTATTCACAGCTAACGTGTTTAAGGAAAATAAAAAAAAGCTACTGATATTAATATTAAACAATGCCCATTAAATATGTAAATATAAAGGACAACACATTAAATTAATAAAATATTAAATTAGTATGAACAAAAGAAAAGTAATTATTTCGGTTTAAAAAGACACCATCAAATTAAAGTTATTTGTTTTATTTTCGATAATAAAGTTAATGAATTGAAAATTGTTTTTCTTTTTTTTATGCAATTAAATAAAATAGATAAGTTTTAAAGTAATTCCGGATCTTAGACAATCTTCTGCCAGTAAACTGAGAAGGGGAAGCCCACAAAATTGGCTTTTCCTTATGTTTGGGTAGTACATATTTATTAAGGTAAACTCAAAGTGTTCTTATGCATATAGGCTACATAGAATTTGCATTTTCGCTTTTATATATGTGAAATATATGTACGACGTAAAAATTAACCCCACAAATCACATCAAGCACGAAGGACGCTTGCAGCAGATCAGTTATCTGAATTTAAATGAAGGCTTTTAAACCAAAAAAAAAGTGATAAATGAATTTAGAAAACCTGGCATCCGCCGTATTTTTTAAATCTTTTGGTCCCGACGAAAGCGATCTACTTCTCCTCACACCACTCATTCTCCTTGCGCACCTGCTCTTCCTCGGCGGGTGTAAAGTCCTTCTTAATGTTGAAGGTCTTGCGGATTTCCTCCGGAGTCTTGCCCTTGATCATATTGGCCACTGTCTTACAGGTAAGCTCGAGAAGCCCCTTGATGTCCAGATAGTTGGCAGCCAGAATGAGCTCAAACAAAGTGCCCTGATCGACCTTCAGGAAATCGGCATCCCACGAGATAATGTCGTCGGTGCGCTTCTCCTTGCTCTCATCGTCCTCCGTTGGCTGCGGATCGTCCTTGTGGTAATTGGCCCAGGTCAGGACCTTGCGGAGGATCGTCGAGTTCACATTGGGCAGCGGCACAATGGCGTTTTCGTCGTCCTCCATGCCGCAATCCTCCAACATGGTCTTAATGGTTCCGGAGCACTTGGCGATTTGGATGTCCGTATCAAAGATCTCCTCATCCGACGATTGCAACTTGATGCTCGGCATTTTATCGGTTGTCTGTTCCTTTTTTTTCTAGAAAACTATAGAAAAATAGTTGACAAAGATAAACCAATTATAAACATTTTTGTTACAAACAATATGCAACTTAATATTTATACTAGTAAAAAAAATGGAAAATTTTGAACTTGCAATCGAATTTGATCATTCTTACCTAAACCTTTTCAAACCCATCCACCTTTAAAAACCACATATCATAATAACTGAAGAAAAAAAACAATTTCCAGAAATGCGCACACACGCACACCACTGCACCGACTCCCACGCATACAAACGCGCTGCGCTTGCATGCGTGAATGCGCTTTTTTACGTTTTTCCAATTAAACTTATCCCCGGTATCTCCGGTGTTTTTTTGTCTGACAACACTCACCTCAAAGAATTGTTTGCAATGGATTCGCAGGACTTATTTTCGGGGATAGAAAATTAGACACCGCCAATGAGAAATCGTTCAGATAAGTAAAAAAACAGAGTGACCAATTTCATAAAGAGCTGCAAAGCATCGGTCTCACAAACGATAGTATCGATGTTATGAAGTTATTTACTAAATACTAAACATTTTTTAAACACAAAAAAATTGCCTGCGAAAATGCAATAAAAGGCTAAATTTTCTGCCAAAACTACAATGTAGTCTAGATTTTGGGTAATAATCAATCAAAATTGTATTCATATCACAACGCAATCCACAATGTAGAAATCTAGTCGTGATTCGACCCGATCAGATGCTGTTATGTGAATATGGGATAAAATTAAATTTTATTGAGATGACTTGACTCATTTTATTATATCTCCGATTGCTTTTTAAATTTGTAATATTACATTTTTTAGATTACTTTATACTCCAAAAATAATCATTGCATGTTAATAACAATAGAAATATTTTTAATTCATTAATATATGACAGATTTCGTCGATCTTTCCAGTTACAGCTATACTTTATAGTTGTCTAATCCTTATGAATCTTGTTTGATAAAAAACAACGTTATAATAACAAATTGTATTTACATAATGATATTATCACCGAACTCAGTTCCCACTTGAACTACTAATGTTTCATCAGAAAAATTTAAAAAAAAATTTAATTTTGAATACTAAGAGTCGTTAAAAACAAAATATTACTAAAGCATGCTTGTTTGAAAAAACAAATTCGTCATTATCATAAATTGTATTCACAGAATGATTTTACCGAACTCATTTCCAACTTAATCTGATATGTTTCAAAGGAATATATGAGCCTCTCAAAGAAAGCCAACAGTATTTAAGGGATGAGTCTATAAATATTACTAAAATATATTTTATTTCCAAAAATCATATTTTAATTTGATGTTTCATGTAAAAATAAATTAAATAAAAGCCAACTGGTAGCTCAGCGATATTTAAATGATTATCTTGGCACTAGGTGCACGGTCACATTAATGGCATTTGTCAACGGCCCAGCCGCGGTCACACTGGTGGCAAAAAAAAAACGGGATCGGAAAAACCATAACGCGAAAATAGGATTCCAGCAGCCGCATTTTATAAATTAAGTCCGACTTCCGAATTCTGAAAACAGCGGTAGAAACTTCAAAAAGTCTGTGCAGGGAAGTGGAGAACGTGAGCGACGACCAGCGAAGCGAAGGAAAAGGAATACATACATACGTACACACGTCTCGCTGCGGAGGAATATATGTATCCATCTGGGAGTGTGTGTGTGTACTGCAACTTCTAGGCGTAAAAGAGAGAGCGATACATTCCCGACTGGCGACTTTGGAGCGTCGCAAGAGCGAGCGAGAGAGAGAGAGCGGAGCCATGGACGGCGTTTGGATGTTTTTGGGGAACAAAGGCATCAAGAGCTAAAATGATTTGCCACAGCCACCGTGATATATTTTGGATAAGCAGCCAAAGCCAAGCCATCCAAGACCAATTCCAATCCAGTGTGTCGTTGTGTGTAAGTGTATGTCTCGACAAAAAACCGTGGAAAAAGACGCACGCACACAGAAGCAGCCAAAGCATCGTTTTGCGAGTATGAGCGAGAGGCAATAGAGCCTTAGTGAATAATTCATTTAAGGTAAACTTTTACAACAATCGAAATAAGTGCAAAAAACAGCAAGAAGTGTATAAACACATTAGAGTGAGAATGTGCGGTTGTGAGTGCGTGTGTGTGTAAGAGGCGCCGCCATTTTTCCCATGTTCCCATGTAATGAGCGTCTAGGGTTGGCAAATCGCTGAAAATGCCTTTTAAAATAAAGGAGATTGGAAACTTTACATCTGGGAAACAATTCTTACGCCTGTGAACTTTTTAGTTAACCGTGAAGTATTTATTGAATTCTGCCTTCCAATTAATTAATTTAATTTGCAAGCCTTTGTGCTCTTGGCAACTCTTTTTCTATCATTCTCACTGCGCATATGCTGCTCTCTCACTCTGACCTGTGTCGTATGCATGCGTGTGTGTGCGTTTGTAAACAGCTGAGAGAGCAATTCGCAATCGAAAATCATATCCATTCAGAACAATTCGGCCAGCAACAAATATTAATTTCCAGCCATGTTTCCCAGCACCACTCAACACCCGCTTGTGTTTATGTTAGTTTGATATTATTTTCGCCGACTTTTGTAAGCACAAAAAACAGTTTAGCGTCGCCCAGTCACAGTTTCCATTGCCGAGCAGTTTCAAGAAAATGCAAATATAAGTTTACTGAGAGTACAAATCGATAATACATTATTTTTTCTGTTTGCTCTTTGTTCAAACAATTGTATTCTGTATGTGTATGCGAATACAAATGCATTATTCCAGGATTACCGTATTGCTTTGTTTTTTTTTCGGATCGATACGGTTTTTTTTTTTTTTTTTTGTTTTACATGTGCTTGTCAAGTTAATTGATTTTTTTGCACGTGTGTGTGCGTGCGCTTGGAGGGCCTGGAACGAGTGCGAGCAAGAGAGCTGTCTGTCGACGACCTCAGCTACGCCTTCTCTCTCTCTCCCTTGCGAAGCCGTACGAGTAAAAATAAAATTGCGGCCATAAATTTAAGTAGGACGATATAAGTGAACTATAGAGCGAACATTTTTAGTGTTTTAACAGCTGTTTTTGCTGAAAAATAATATCTTAAATATTGTCCTTTGTCGCGAAAGAGAAGGGAAGCGAGAATATGTGTGTGTGCAAATACTTTAGCACTTGTCTGGTCCTGGACAACATATGGCCATCTTGCTCTAGACCATGTCTCGCCAGCGTTGCCAGATAATACAAATCAGTGCGGTTCTTTCGTTAAGAATTCAAAAACAGCTGATAATTGCCAGGTCATGAACTTGATTATATTTTAAGATTTATTTAAAAAAAACATAGTAACACAAAAAAAAAAAAAAAAAAATTACAACAAAATCGGTTAAAAAATTCTATCAAATTATTTCATATATTCCTGAAATATTTGTAGCTATCATTCTATGTTTCAACAAATTAATTACCTTGTTGTCCTTTTAGACTGTCCTGCAGAATGGTCGTCGGCTCGAATCACACGCGGCGAGGTGAAACTGGCAGCAGATTTACAAACAGCAGTAGTTCCAGTGGCTCAAACGGTGGTCCCACCGCTTCGGCCAGCAGCACCACCAGCTCAACGTCTTCACCAGCCACCAACTCCACGACGACGGCGGCGGCTCTGTTGTCGTCCATGTCCCATAAGGGCCATGGCCCGTCGCCATCCGCACCGCCATCTGCGCACCACCAGGCGAGCCAGCAGCACCACCAGGCGGCGAACCACCATCCACATGCCCCCTATCACCAGGCGAGCCAGCATCCCAGCCATCATAATCAGCCGTCGCATCACTCCTCAAATGGCAGTGGAGGCGGATCAGGAGGAACGGGCTCGGCATCAGGATCTGTTGTCAGTGGACTCAATGGCAGCAACGGCAGCGCCGTCAGCCGACTGTCGCAATCCACTGGCATGACGCCGCGTGAACTTTCTGAAAACGATGACTTGGCCACATCGCTGATCCTCGATCCGCATCTCGGTTTTCAGACCCACAAGATGAACATACGCTTCCGCCCACTAAAGGTGGACACGCAGCAGCTGAAGGCCATAGTGGATGACTTCATCCACACGCAGAACTACGATGTGGCCATTCAGCGCATCTACGATGGTCCTTGGATACCGCGTCATCTGAAGAATAAGATGAAGATCGCCACCAAGCGCCTCCACGATCACGTAAGTGGCACTTACTTTAACATTCAGCAACTATTTTTATTTGAAATAATTTGTTTTTCATAAATTGTTAAATCTTTGCCTAATAATTATTTTTGCTATCTCTTTTGATCTGTTTTCCAGATCGTTCGCTACCTGCGCGTTTTTGACAAGGACAGTGGCTTTGCGATCGAGGCCTGCTACCGATATTCGCTGGAAGAGCAACGTGGCGCCAAGATCAGCTCGACGAAGCGTTGGTCAAAGAACGACAAGATCGAATGTCTGGTGGGCTGCATAGCTGAGCTAACGGAGGCCGAGGAGGCGGCCCTGTTGCACTCTGGCAAGAATGACTTTTCGGTGATGTATAGCTGCCGCAAGAACTGCGCGCAATTGTGGCTGGGACCGGCTGCCTACATTAATCATGATTGTCGCGCCAATTGCAAGTTCTTGGCCACTGGCAGGGATACAGCGTGTGTGAAAGTGCTGCGCGACATTGAAGTGGGCGAGGAGATAACCTGCTTCTATGGCGAGGACTTCTTCGGGGACTCCAATCGCTATTGCGAGTGCGAGACGTGCGAGCGACGTGGAACTGGCGCTTTTGCCGGCAAGGATGACGGCCTGGTGTTCGGCCTGAGCATGGGTCTCGGTCTGGCGACCAGTGGGCCCGGCAATAACGGTGGCTATCGCCTGCGGGAGACGGACAATCGGATCAATCGCATTAAAAGCCGGGCCAACTCCACAAACAGCACCTCAAACAGCAACAGTAACACAAATGATTCCACTGGCACCAGCGAGAGTAGCAGCACGAACGGATTGGTTTCTGGCGGAGCAGCAGGAGGAGCGACAGGAGCAACTGGAGCCGCGGTGCCTGCAGTGTCGCAGCAGCTGATCACTGGCGGCAAGGAGGTGGCCACCGCCGCTGTCTCGCTGGCCGAAAAGAAACTGCCTAACGTTGTGGTCTCTCCGCTTACGATGAAGGAGTTGCGGCAGAAGGGCATGACCAAGTACGATGCCGAGATGATAATGGCCAATGCAGCCTACCAGCAGCAGCACCATCATCAGCATCACTTCCATCACCACCATCATCATCATCACCATCACCACAACCATGGCCAGCATGCGAGCACCGGAGCGGAGGCCACAGCGGCTGTGCAGCAAATGGCGGCCTTGCAGAAGCCAGGAGGAGCTGGAACTGGAGGAAGCCCAGGAGGTGGTGGTGGTGGAACCGGACCTGGAGGTGGAAATGCCTGTGGAGTAACTTCAGTGGGCGGCAGCGGCGTGGCCGGCGGAGCGGGCTCCGAGTTAAATGGCGGCGGACGCTCTAGCAGCCTGCGCAAATCGATGCGTGTGAATAGCACCAGCAGCAGCATATCGACAGCCTCCACGGACGAGGTGGTGGTGGCCCCGGTGGCCGTTGCCAGCAGCAGTAGCAGCAGCAGCAGCAACAGCATTCCGCTGCCCACCAAAGCGCCGGTGGTGCTTGTGCCACGCTGCAAGCCCGCCCAGATGGCCATCGCCGCCCTGCACCAGCGACAGCAGCGCCAGCTGCGGCGCAGCGAGCGGCAGAAGGACAAGCTCACGGACGGCGAGAGCAGCGACAATAGCACCGAGCAGCAGAAAAGGGAGCAGAAGCAGCAGGATCAGCAGCTGACGCCCAAAGCGTTTGCTCATCAGGGGCAGCCGGAGAGGCAGAGGAAGCATCAGGAACAGCAGGAGAAGCGTGTGACGCGTAATAGTGCAGGAAAAGGAGGATTGGTAGCCAGATTAGCCACTGCCCATAACAATAACATTGCAACCACAGCAACAGCAACAACAACAACAACAAACAACAACAGCAGTAAAGCAACAACGATTACAAATTGTAATAATCATAATAGTAATAATAGCAGTAGAATTAATCATAATTCTAATCTTAGCGGTAGACTTAGTGTTAAATCGAAGAAGCCAGCACCAAGTGAGGCCTCGTCCACACCCTCATCCACATCCACATCCACATCATCAGAAAATCAGCAGCAGCAGCAGGCAACGCGTCGCAGTCGCAGCCCGAGTCCCGCCTACAAGAAGAACCTTTTGTCCAGTTTCGGTCCCGACCTTGCCCCCAACCAAACGGGCAAGCAGCAGCAGGATCAGAGGGACGGAGGAGCTATTAATCCGCCGGTCAAGCAGAAACGGAGCCGGAGGGCAGCTGCCCTTGCAGCGGCGCAGAGTATCCATTGCGAGGCGCTGGGCGGATTCTCATCGGGATCTGTTGGTGGTGGCCAGCGCAAAACAGCCCATCCGGTAGAAGCTGCTGCCACTTCGTCTTCATCTTCCTCGAGGAGTAACATCAATGTGGAGCCGCTTCTAAAGACGCCAGAGCGCAGGCTAAAGTTAACGCTCCGCATGAAGCGTTCCCCCATCCTCGACGAAGTCATTGAGTTGGGAACGAGCCTGAGCAACGGGGGAACTGGCCGGAATGCAGCGGCATCGCATCGCGGCGGAGCGGGAGCCGATGGCTCGAATAGAGCGGCCCTCAATCTAACGGGCGGCAGTTCCAATGGCATCGAGTACGAGATCCTGCGCATGGAGGGCATCTCCGAGCACGGCAACGATGACGATGACGACGACGAGGAGGAAGACGAGGAGCACGAGGAAGAGGACGAAGACGATGAGCCAGCTGTCGAGGAGGAGGACGAACCGCCGCCAAGGAAGGAACAGCAGCAGCTGCTCACCAAGAAGCAGAGAAAGAAACAGCGCAGCCGGAGCAGGAGCAGCCAACGCAGATCGCCAGCGCCGAGCAGCAGCAGCAGTGCCATGTACGGCACGCCGCAGAAGAAGCGACTTCGTCTGATCTTTGGCAATGAGTCCCACACCATAGACATTCCACCATCAGCAGCTGCCGAGGGAGCGGAAGGCAGCGGCATCGACGACCTAAACAGCAGCGGCGGTGGTGGCGATGAGTCCTTCAATGCTTCGTACGCCAGCAGCACTAGCTTGACGGTCAACACCTCCTCCAGCAGCACAAGTTCATCCGGCGGCGGCGGCGGCAGCGGGGGAGGAACCACCACCTCTTCCTCAACCGATGCGGCAGTGGACTCTTCCACAGCGGGCCAATCCAATGCCGCCCAATCGCCCTCGTCCACCACCAGCAGCTCCTTCCAATCGGCCTGCACCTCGACCACCAACAGCAACAACTACTTTCCAAATGGAAAGCAGCGAGCTGCTGGCGAGGATTCCTATGCGATGCACTACTATCAGCTGTGCAAGTTTGCTGGCACCTCGAGTCCGGGACAAGGACAGGCGATTGTGAGCAGCAGCAGCGGGGGATCTTCGAAAGGAGGAGGAGGAACTGGAGCTGGGGCTGGAGCTGGATTCCTGAGCATGCCCAAGCACACATTCGGCACTTGTGCTCTCCTCGCGCCCACTAGTTTTGCCAGCCTGCAAAATCAGTCGCAGATTAACCAGCAAAAGTCCAGCGCAGGCGGAGGAGGAGGAGGGGGTGTGGGTGTGGTGGCCACATCCACGTCGGCAACGCCTGCGTCGTCCTCCTCGAATCATCATCATAACAACCATCATGGCCAGAAATAACCAACGACTGATCTCCAAGCAAATTGACTAAGCACAGCTGCCATTGCCAAGGCAAACGAAGGAACGACGACGAGTGGGAGAAGCCAGAACAGGGATACGAAGGAGCGGCGGGAGTGTGTCGAGGAGCACCAGGTGATGAGCAGGATGGGCAGGAAAAGGAAACGCAACGGATGGGCAGGATGGGGGCCTAAGGATTGCTGCTCTGCTGGCGTCGTTGCCTCTGCTGCTGCTTAACCTGTGAAAGCACCCTGTAGAAACTTAGTTTTAGGTCTTAGTTCATGTAGATCCTTCATAGATCCTTGGTTTTTATATTCAGGAATCAAAAAAACAGGCTGACAAATTTTTAAAATCGAATCTGGATATATATACCTGATTATAACTTGTGTCTTTTTTTTTTTTTTTTGCTTTCTTTTCTATTTCTCTCTTTTTCTCTTTGTGATTATAACTCCCCATTTCTCTTAATCCTTTGTGTCCTTTTTGTGTTCGCGTCGTTTGTTGCTTGTGTGTGTTTGTGTGTATGGTGTGTGGTGTGCTTTTCTTTTGCAGATGGAAATATAAAGCTTAAAAGTAGAAAAAGATCGGAGGAAAATGCATCGTGCTGCATGCACGACGGCAACAGGAGCAACCGCAACCGAAACCGCAGCAACATCGGCAACAGCAGCAGCAACAGCAACATCTTCAGCAACACCAGCAGTAATTTGATAGTTAAAAAGCTAAGAATAGAACTAAATCGCATACAAATCATGTACAGTTGAGAATTTATCAAGCAGGACGCGCAGCCCAGACGCCATTAAAACAATAAAAACACAATGAGAAAGGATTTAAAAACAATATTCTAAATGCAATGCACACAGACACAACAACGCAATTAGCAGCGGTTTTAAACGCCTTACAACCTAACGTTAACTTTATATAAAAAAACGTATATTTATAAAAGAAACCAATAAATAAATTATATATATATGTATAAATATATATATAAAGGATACTCTAGAACATCCCGCAAAAGCCAACAATAAAACAATAGTGCAGCAGCAACAACAAGGACAGCAATATATAAACAACTCAATTAAGTAACTATATATACACACACAAAAATTAATAACAATAAATTAAAAGGGAAAAATGAGGAAAATCGAAACCATTAATTTTCAATTAACAGACTAAAAATGTATATAAAAAACACAACGGAGATTTAAATTAGAAAGCCAGCGAAATGATTTAAGCCGAACATACAAATAAAAATATGCTAAAAACAACTCAACAAAAATGGTGATTCACGTGGTTCAGCGAGCAGACTTTAAGTACTTTTGTTAACAATATCATTTTATCCAATCAAATCAGAACACACATGCATACCCATTATTTTATTCCTACGATTATTTTTTGTTTACCTATAAGTTTAGTTGCTAGCATATATATTTAAACATTAATCATATTTGATATATATTATATACTTTATTCATATGTGTAACTACTGTGTATTATTTTGTAAGCCACCAACAATAATTTACAGCAGCCGCGGCCGCAAACATTCATAATAAACTAAAAAAGAACATTTAGTTTTTACAAATGCATGGTTTTCCTTCTTGCCGACTGTTAATTTTACATTTTAACTTGGCATGTAGATCTATTGAACAAAGGATTTGCTTCTTATAGCGATGCTTCTTCCTTGTTTTCTATTCTGCATATTCTTTTTGTAGTTCTTTAGGAAAATTAAGTTTTTATTTTCCATTTCTAGCGAGAGAATTGCGTTTCGAAGGAATCAGTTAATTTAAAAAAGGGCATTTGGTGAATAAGTTAAAAAACTTTTCAGCTTCCCATTTATTTTGTTCTTAAAATAAATGTATTCCTTTCTTAAAGTAAAGAGGTACCCAAAATGGGTTATGAAATTAAAGTATTGATTCTTCGTGATTAAATGAGCATACATTTTTGCATGGTTTGTCTTTATGTCTGCCAAATCAGAATATTTTTTCGGGCTTCTTGGTATGTGAGGAAAGCCAGCATAATGTTTCCCAGAAAAATAATTAGTGTTACGTGGAAATGTACGATGCAAAGTCGGGTTGTCTTCTCATCTTCTACAGCATTTATTTTTAGCGTTACAAAAGTTTTGTCTCAGGAAAAGCAGCGGAATCAGAAAGCACTCCATTCCTGGAGTTTAACGTTTCCGCCCGAGCTTTTCCATTCGCTTAAGAACTACGAAGGTATTAAATAGGGTAAAGTGTCCAGATGTAGCAGAGTTTTTCTTAAGAGTTTTGGGTGAACTTAAAGGTTCAAATTAATGCTGCTTTATCTGGTTTAGTGGCCGTACTTTTGGAAGTCCCACTCGCGGTTGTCCAGCGGACAAACCTGGCGGGTTTTTAGCCATCGTGAGATGCAGTGGAAGTGAAACGCGTGGTTGCAGACGCCCCAGGCCACGGTGCACTCCTCGCTGGTGGCGGATGCCTGGTTTGCCTGGCACTCGATACACAGGTCCATGATGTGGTTGCGGCAAATGGCGCAGTTGTCGACCACGATGTCTGCAAAAAGGATTTGCAAATGAAAAATTGTGGTTATTTTGATTTGCAAGTTTTGAACTTATGTGGTACTCACCCCATGCCCACAAAGCAACGGCATTCCACTGTTTTAAGCGGGAGAGCAATATAAAAAGAAAGGAGGATATCAGTAATATTTTCAATGCCATTAACCTTTTGGGTTGACTTCAACCTTCTTCACTTCGAAACGCTTCTTTTCTCCTTTGCTACTGCTCGACGGCACCTCGAATTCCTCCTCGTCCACCTCCATCTCGTCTGAGTTTACAATTTTATTTTTAATAATTATTGTACAATTAGTTGCAATTCATTCGCTTTTTTCGCCTGTTTCGTTTCGATAGAAATTTATCGACCCGACAATGGTATGCTTGATAGTGTGGCCGTTTTATAATGTCATCAATATTCAATGTTCGTCAAAATAGCTTAAAAATGTTACAGGATTAAATTTGGTAATGTTGTCTTATTTATTTTGACCGCATTTGTTATTCAGTCTATAAAAGAATAATCTAAATTTTTTTTTGTAAAAGTTCAAAACATTTCGATATTTCGTGAATAATTCGATATTTATCAAATGTGTCCCTGAACAACTGTTAGTTTACGAGCACTATAAAGAGCACTGACGCTATCAGATGCAAAAGAGGCGGCAAATTTCTTCAAATTTGTATCTATAAAAAACAATGTAAGTGCTAGTTAAAAACTTATGAAAAGGTTAACTAATAATCACTTAATCAATAATAGATGCAACAAGACAAAGAGCAGGAAGAGGTCCATGAGGAACGGCGATGGTGCGGTATTGGGAACCATAAACTAAGGACCCCATATCGTGAACTTGGCAATGAGCATTTGTACAAGTTTGCCAAAAGGCTTAACTCTGAAATCCAGATAACCTCGCCATTGTGTGTTACATGCTATAAGAGTCTGTTAAGAGTTTATAACTTGAAAAATAACAATGCCAGGATGCACAGGGAGCGGGCTGAAGCCTCAAGTGTCACTGATGTCAGCGGCAATTCTGTGGGGGTATCAACAGCTACCAGTGCCATCGTAAGAAACATCATTTCGCCTCCAACAAGTACTTCTGACGACGAGCCCATCTCGAATTTAAGTCTAAACGCAGTAAATGGCACCCGGTTGCCCCATATACAGCCAATTCCCAAAAGACGACCTACTGTTCATTTGAACAAGGAAGCCATGGACATTTATTTGCAGGGAACTACCGGGGGATAAGCAGATTCCTCTCCCTTAACTATTTTCATTTTCAATTTCATTATTTCATGTACTTTAGTCTGTCAGCGACAGTAAATATTGAATATATAGCTTTTCATTATCCAGACCATAAGTATTTAAATGTTATCATTATCGGAATAGCAATAAACACTATGTTTTGAGAAGTTTTTTATTTAAATATATATAATAAATGCAAATGTTTTTCCTTAATCTATAGTATCCTAGTGTTTTTATCCTGGCTTGACGGTGACAAAATATCCTGTTCAATGAACTAAATTGTCTTATTCTATATAAATATTATGGGCCTTTGAAATATAACTAATATGTCTATTCTATTAAATCGGACCGATATACGAGTAAAAGATAATAAATAAATCTCGCAGTGTGTGGCTTTATACAATACAAATATTAAATAAAATTCTTTATTTTCTTCAGAAACACTTCTATATTTATTAAGTCTTAATAAATAGCTTAATAAATTAGGTTGTTCAAGTTCAGGGCTCTAGCTCGGGGATTCTTCTTCTTGTCCTGGGGTCCCTTTTCGTGCTAGGACCCACCTCCTATTTTGTGCCCAGTCCCCTTTTCCCGCTTCACCACCGGCAGTCGCGTCCAGATGTATCCGCCCGATCTCTGGGCGGTGTACTCGTCTACGTCCGGCAGGGGAAAGGGGTGCTTCTGTCGAAGTAGTAGTTGCTGGGCGCGTGCATCACGAACTCCAGATAGCACAGCTTTCGCGATAGCTCTTCATCGGGTCCTGAAAGATACGGTTTATATAAATAAAAGGCCGACAACTACAGAATACAAATAAGGAGAGTTGACATTCGAGGAAGAATTTTCCTGCTGGTGCAACCAACAGTAAGTAACTCCAAACACATACCAATCAGGTAGGTGGCCGGGTCGAATCCCTCCTGGGGATCCGGACTATCTTGCGTGGGAATCAGCCAGGTGAGGAAAGCGGACTTCTCGCAGTAGGCGTCCACGAGTAATCCGCGTATTTGGGCGTAGTAAAGGTTCTGATCCCCGTCCACGATGCTGACGATATCCCCAATTTGCATGTAGCTGCCCTTGTAGAAAACGCTCTTCACGAACTTTGTACAGGCCTGGACCTTTGGAGTCTTTTGCGCCGGTCTCTTAAACAGAGCACGACGATTTCGGGCTCCCGTGGCTCCTCCCGGACCAGCTGGCCCCGATTTCACATGCTTATTGGTGTTACTGGGATGAGCACCAGCCCCCGCGAGATGTGTCGAGCTGCCTGTGGCACCATTCGGTCCATTGTTGTGGCCATTTGACTGGCTGTTGCCGCCACCCGGATTTCCCTTGCCCGTTTGTTTGGACTTGAAGCGCGTGCTCTTCCGCAGGCGCTTAATAATGGTTGGCGTTCGGTTTGAGTTATTATTCTGGTTAGCCGTGCCGTTCAGGCTGCTGCGGGTGATCTTGCCCACAGATCGCTGGCTAGGATTTGGTGTCGCCTCCGTTGAACTACATGGCATTTCATTTAGGACTTGCGATGTCTGCTTCGCTGGCTGCTTGTCCTCCTCGATTTTAATGGCCGTCGGTGGGCTGGGCGGATGGAATGAATATTCTAGGGGTTTTCGGTCCAGTTCCTGCTCCTTTTTATGTTCTCCTTCTTGCTCCTGTTCTTTTTCCTGGTCCGTCTTCAATTCCGGTGGCTTAATTTTCGCCTGTTTCGGCTGCTCCAGCTCGTCCACCGTCGGCATTCGCTCGTTGGTGGTCAAATCGTTATCAATATCCATTTCCGTGGAGTCCCTCGGCGCCTCGCAGGAAAAGGATGGTGGTGGAGGGTCAGGATTGGCGGCTGGATCCCCAGGATCATTTTGTTGGCCCTCGTCCACGGACGATTCCTTGTTTCCGGGGCTTTGAGATCCGGGATTACTGCCCGTACCGCATTCCCTTTCCATTTGATCGAGGTCGGTGGACATAGCTTTTCTGCCAACTGATCGTTAAGACTTTTAGTCAGTTTATCCAAGTATTTTTTGATCAACAAAAATTTGTTTTTTATAAAATTTTAGTTAGAGATGTGCCGTTTGGTAAGAAAGGACCGATAGTTAGAGATGGAGTTCTTTTTCGTATTATGCCGATGGTAATTCACGATAGATAAACCTGCTGGAATTTAAATTTATATAAGGGAATATTTCCCTTATTATTTTTCCTTTAAATATTCCTTAAAAAATCCAACTATTCACACCAAATAAAATTTCCACTTCTATATTCTCTGCTTTTATAGTATTTTTATTAGTTACGCACAGATAATAGCTGAAGTTTAACTTATGAAGTTTTAACATTTGAATATTGCGTGTCGCTCGTGCCATCAAAAGCACTCACGTTTTCATCTCTATATTATATTATATTTTATTCGGGGGACACGGATTCGGATCATACAATGGATTTCGGGGCCCTGCTGCATCTCGCAAAGAAGAAGAGCGATGCGGCCACTAAGGAAGAGGTTGGTATCGTGGTTTCCAGGTGCCCAGGTGTTCCCAACAATGTGTGGCCACCTGCATCGTTGATTCACCTGTGTTCGCTGACTTGACCTCAAAAGCCAGATGGGATCTCCCCTAGAGACGATCATTACATTGCCATGTTTCTGCTTTTAGCGCCCGGGACAGGGCAAATATTACAGCACCAAGTATGCCCCACCAAAAAAGGAGTCGAAGGAGTCCAAACAGCTGTCCAACAACATCCAGAAGTTTCTGCGGAAAAAAGAGGCCGAGGAGGCGGAAAGGAAGCGCGAGGAGCGTCAGAAACTTAATGAATTGCTGGCCAAAAGGGACGAAAAGTCGAAGAACAAGATCCGCAAAATGCTCAAGGTGACCAAGTCCGCTAACAAGTCCGTCTTGGCGGACGCCAAGGACTGCGATGGAGCAATCGATGGCCACGAGGCGGGCGAAGGTCAGGGCGATGACTACGGCTATGTGTCCAACGAGGCGAATGCCTTCTACGAGAAGTACATTGAAAAAGTTCGAGATGTGCAGGAGGACAAGGGTTTTGCGCCGAGCCGGCCACAGTCGCTGCGAGATCTTTCCGGGACCAAGGAGCGCGTGAAGGCGGCCATCACACGCGAACGGGAGGAGGCCAAAAGTCACACGCGCCAGAGGAGCAGTACGAGTACGCCCACAACCAGTGCCGCAAAGGCCAAGGACCCGCACGTGGCCCGTTCCTATAGCACCTCGAAGACCCTCTACGATCCGGAGGCCGAGAGGCGCGAGGAGGAGGCCAAAAAGCGAAAAGAAGAGGAACAGCGACGGGCCAAGTTGAAACGACCCGTCCAACCGCCGCCTATGGACTTTCAGGCGCTCCTTCGTCTGGCCGAAAAGAAACAGCACGAACCGGTTGCCTTTGAGCCGGAGAAGAAGAAGGAACCGGAGCGATTGCTTTCCGCCCGCGAGAAACGCGAGATGGAGGAGCGCCAGCGGCTAAAGGAGCAACGGGCACAGCGCGACAAGATGCGCGAAAGCGAGGCCAAGGAGCCGCCGAAAACTACCACCTCCAATCGCATGGAGCCCAACGGACGCATACCCAAGCTGAATCAAGCCAAGCCAACGACTTTACCGAGCGAAAGCTTCAAGAAGCCTGCCCAACCGCCAGCAAGGCCCAGCTCTCACTCTTCCAGTTCCACTACCCATTCCTCTACTAGCCGTAGTCCTGCCTCAAGTATAAAGCCCGCCAGTAAGACGACAGCTCCTGTGGCCGCCAAGCCAGGAGCAACTTCGGCAGCGGCGGCACCGGGAAAGCCTGGTTCCAGTTCTAGTTCCAGTTCCAGTTCCATTCGGGATCTGCCCTCCAAAAATCCCTACGCGGCGGCCAATAAGAACGGAGCTGTGAGGGAGTTTCCACCAAGGGATCGGCCTGCAGTCCCATCCAGAAATCGTCCAGATGCACCGACGGCTGGCAAAACGCGACAGTTTCCCCCAGCGGATGTTCAGCGATCGTCGGGCGGAAGGCAGTTCCCGCCAGCTGATGTCAAGGGCAGGCGGAAACCCCAAGAAGAGCCAGGCAACAAAAGTAGGACAGATATATATTTATATTGTGTCAACCATGTAATATGAATTATTTTGTGTATCGCATTTTTAGGACGCATTTACGACGACGAAGATGAGGACGAGTACGATTCCGAGCTGGACGACTTCATTGATGATGGCGACTGCGAGGAAGATATATCGTCGCACATCCGCGACATTTTTGGCTATGATAAGCGGCGATATCGCGGCATGGACGACGATGATCGGGGGATGGAGTCCAGTTTTGCGCAAATGCAGCGGGAAGAGTTCATCAGCAAGAAGTTGGGTGAGTTTGTGAGCCAAAAAGGCGCATTGGAACGCGAACTAAATTCTCGTTTGTCGCAGGACTGCAAGAGGACTTGGAGGACATGCGCATGGAGGCGGCGCACAAGAAACGGAAAATGGCCAAGAAACGGAGCAAGCGTATCGATGACGACGACGATTAGCCGGTTGATCTTTCGAGTCCGTCGTACAAATCTCAAATATCTCCAAAAGCGACCACTATGGGATGCCAATTCACAGGTCGACCAATGCTGAATCCAGGAGCTGTGCCTGTTTACAAGTTTTCAAGATATTCGTTATTAGTTTAGTTCAAGCAAATCCCACACACCCTTGGATAAGCAATTTTACATACTTTTGCTCTTTTTGGAACCCAAACTGAAATTTTATCAGTACCCTCCGCAAGAAGGGTATAAATACATTTTAAATAGGTTTTCCCGCCTGAAGTTGATATACGAATTCCTTGAGTTGAAATCAACACTTAATGAAGTGGTTTAATGACCTCGGCACCCCGAACCCGTACAAGTGTTTATTTACATTTACCTCAGAGTTTGTCATTCTCAAAAATAAACCCGTTTTCGCCTTTTGTATACACACAAATCACTTTGGTGCTTTCTAATTTTTATACCTATGCAGTTGTACATGTAGCTAGGCTGAAATAAACATTTATAGTGTCAATGAAATCTATAACTTTGAATTACTGTACCGAGAATCGAAAGTCATGCACATATTTGAAATTGGTTATGATGCATGTGAGATCGTTGCTTGGTTTATAAAAACTATAATTAGCAGTTTGTTCCATGTTAACTGCAATTGAATTCGATATGATTATTTAAAACTCGCTTGGAAAATCTTTTCGTAGATCGATTTGTTTTTGCATTTTCAGTTTCGAAAGCTTTTAATGAGGATCTGGTCTGTGGCATTAACTCCGATTTACCCAGATGTGTGTTTCAGTTATCCTATAAACAATCAATTTTAATGGTAAACAAACAAAAATCTCATTACAAACGAACTCCTACAGTAAAGTGGCTTATAAACGAACAAGTGTAGCGGAAACAGTTCCCACGCTGGTTTTCCAGGAGCTGGATGAGATGAGCCCCCCTCCTCCTTTTTGGGCCTAATCGAAGCGATCCGGCTCCACGACCACCGCACTGCCCACTCTTCTTCGATCGCAGACGGGGTGCGGCTCGCTGCCCAGGATTCCGATGGCCGTCTGGGCGGAGTAGGCCTTGTCGTCCTCCAGGAACCGGATGTCGTGACCGATGGCCCGCAAGTAGGCAACCGTGTGCCGCGGAACACTCGGCTCCATGTCGATGTGCATGGGTGCCAGTTGGTGATGCAGTCGGCCCGCGTTAACCGCCTTTTCGATCGGTTCGTTGAGCACAAAGTAGCGCAGGATGGTCTGGGCCACCGAGGTGGTGATCTTGGAGCCCCCAGCGCCGCCCACAATCAGCTTGACATTGCCGTGGGTGTCCAGAACGATGCTGGGACAGGTGGAGGACATGGGTCGCTTGCCCGGCTTGATGAAGTTCGCCGGACTGGCGGGTATCCCATACGCATTGATCTTTCCCGGCGTGCTGAAGTCGTCCATCTCGTCGTTGAGTATGAACCCGGTTTGGCGGGACCTCACCTTGGCACCCAGGTGACTATTAATGGTGCTCGTCACCGAAATGGCGTCGCCGTTGGGCGCCAAAACGGAGATGTGCGCCGTTCCGTGATCCTCTTCGTTGGCAAAGTTGGCGCCGTAGTATGACATATTCGTGAAGGTCCTGTCGTCCAGGATCAGCTGGCGGATCTCCGCCGCAAACGACGGATCGACGAGGTTCTCGTAGATCTCCTGCACATCCGGCTCGTAGTGGATGTCCCCCAAGTTGGTGCGATGCCCATACGCATGCTTGAACGTCTCGATCAGCCGCTGCCAGTATTTGTCCGTGTTGCTCGTGTACAGCGGCTCCATCACGTTCAGGATGAAGGTCAGGACGGCTCCACTGGTGGGCAGTGGCGAGGTGAACAGCTCGTAGCCGCCATTGAACCGCGAGTGCAGCGGCAGCTCCCAGCGAACACTGAACAAGAAGAAGAAGAAGAAGCGACGGGTGAAAATGGGTGAATCCCAACCTCCAGATGGGAGGAGGTACTCACTCGTATTTCTGCAGGTCGTCTTCGGTGATGATGCCGCCCATCGCCTGGATGTCCTCGACCAGCTTCCTGCCCACCCGTCCGCCGCCGTAGATCACCTGAGCACCCTCATCGGCGATTATCTCGAGGGTTTCGGCCAGGGCATGGCGGTACATGATCTCGCCCTGCTTGTAGACCTCATCCGTTTTCGGATTGATGAAGATTTCGGCCATAGAGGGTTCGCTCCGGATGCGCTCCTCCTCGCGCTGCAGGACTCCGGCCAGGTATCTGGAGACGAGGATGCCCCGCCGACAAAGCTCGATGGTCGGCTGGAAGAGGGTCTTCCACGGTAGCCGGCCGTACTTGTCGTGCAGCTTGGAATAGCCGTAGATCTCGCTGGGAACGGCGCAGGACAGAGCGCCCGTGATCTCCTTGCCCACGAACATGTCCTGGGTGGCAGCCGCAGGAGCCGTTTCCCGGGCAACGAGCGTCTCAATGAAGCCCGTCTCCTTGGAGTAGATCGTGGCCACGAAGCCACCGCCGACGCCCAAGCTGTGGGGCAGCATCACGCCTTCGCATAGCATGGTGGCTATGGCGGCGTCCGCAGCGGAGCCTCCGATGTCCAGGATGGTGCCACCCACCTCGGCGCATCCGACGCCGTTCGAGGCGACGGCGCCCATGCGCCGCGGCTCCTCCGTCTTGCCGCGGAGCCCGAAGACCAGGCCCAGAGTCACGCCCACGGCGGCCACCACCAGGATAATCCAGCAGACGGCATACTTCTTGCAGCAGCTATAAAAAAAGGGAAGGAATCAATAAGGATCAATGAGTACTGGTGCCCGAAATGGGAAGGATATTTCAGAGTCGGTACGGTACCATCGAATAGGTCACCGTACCCGACTAATAGGTCACCAAATGCATCGAACAGCTCCCCATAGAACATGGTATATCAGATTCTACTGGACTCCGGACTTAGATTCCAACGGATACTGTGATCAACTGGTAGATCTGATACATTGATTGTGCCTTTTGAAAGGGTATTCGGATTAAATCTCCTCGGGATGATTTTAAATGTTCTAGTGTAAGTATTTCCTTGCATTCCTTTTTTGAAACCCTGAACTTACGACATTTTGTGTGAATCCTTAAAAACTACTAAGTTAAAAAAACTTGAACGATTAAAAAAAAAGTACGGCAAAATGCCGATGGCGGAATTAATTAAATAGCCATCGGACGGCATTGGGCTTACCTTATATATCCATCCCGTTATCTGGGTTTTTACGGGTGATAAGACAAGACCATCCATGCGCCTCGCATGGAACCCAAATCCGTATCCAAATCCGTGCTACGTCAGAGGTAGAAAGTTTGGTCTGACTAAGAGGCCGGCAAAAACCAAAGAAACGAAATCAGGAGTCGCGCCTTAATTATATATTATACTATTTTATCATCTGGCAGGTGGCGATAAGCCGATTTAAGGTCAATCTGCAATGTTTTCTTGGCTAAAAATAGGGGACACATGCAGGAAAAATTAATTAATATCAATGAGCAATAACAGGGCTCGATAAGAAAACAAGTCTGCTGGACTTTGGCCTTGTACTTTTCGAGAAAGCGGCCTTAATATTGGGTAGTGGGTTCTTATTTGTATTATTTTTAGTTATTAATGATTCATTTTTGAATTTAGTATTTGAATATGTTGACCGCCAAAATACAGTCTGGCAACGCCAGGTCGTGCACTTTCCACCCTTAGCGAGCACATGCACCAAATATATCGATATATCGGCAATACTTGACTGCCATATGTGTCGCATTGTCGATAACATCGTTAACGGTTGTTCCATCTCTATCGCCAACACGAAATCGTTTTTGTAAAATCGGCTGGGATATATATGTGTATATATGTTAAATATCCAATGTGAAAGTGTATCGTATCGTGAAAAACAAGCCCTGCTATTCGCCCTGAATGAAAATCGCGGCGGAAAATGAAACGTGAGTGGGTGGCCGAAGAAACAAAAATAAAACACGGTTTAAAAATTTAAAAAAAACCAAAGCCGAGTTTTTACGCATACCAGTGCAGCGCATTAATGCTGCACATATGCAAATGGCTCTGCGTGTGAGTGTGTGTGTGTGTTTGCCAAAGAGTAAAATACATACATATATGCAGATTTTTTCTAAGCAAAATCTAATTGGAACGGCATACGGTTTAGATAACACAAGGATAACTGTGCGTGTGTTTATTAATAACAAAACAAAACATTTTTTTGAGTGTAATTTCTTTTATTTAAACTTTTTTTGAGCTGCAACGCCCACTGATTTTGTTTCTCAAAAAAGAAAAGAAAAAGAGGAGAAAGATGTGGAAGGAAGAAGAGGAGAGAAAAAACAAAACTAACAACTCTCTGTCTGTGTACTGTTCTTTGTTGGTATGGGTGTGTGCTACAGTTTTGTTGTTGTTTTGATAAAAATGAAAATCATTTAAGAAAATTCATTGCGTCTGCGCCTCCAAAACATTGCAAAAACAAAAGAACGGGGGAAAAAAAACAATTTTGGCCTTGCCCAAAAGGCAAAAATAAAGGATACAACAAAGTTGCAAGGCAGCATCAAAACACACACATACAAACAAAATTTGAAAGGGCAGCAGCACAAAAACAAAACAACAAACGCATCTGGAAAAAAAAACAACCGAAAACCACAATAACCACAAATACAAGTGCAACCGGTTATTTAACCGCTTATTTGTACTCGTACTCCAATTGGGAAGTATTTTTTCAAGAATTCTTGTTTAATTTAAAACAAAGCTTGTAGTTTATGTAGCTATTGTATTATTTTTGATTAAAAATATTGATACAATGTAATCTTTCTGGATTATAATAGATATAATATAGCTACTATACATTTATTCATGAAAAGTATGATCCAAGCATCGGAATTATGTGAAAACTATTCTTTATAACTATAGTAATGACTCGCTAGTCTCCCAAATCCCAGAAAGACAAAGGCAAACTCCTCGTTGAGGTGCGCTTGTTGTTGTTGTTTTAAGCTGTGTGGGCTGCCCACACGCAAGGATATCCAAGTCAAGTCTTCAACTGTGACGCACACACAAAGAAAAAAAAAAGAAAAAACAGATGCAGGTACAGATACGAAACTCACACACATTCTTGCAGGCGGTGAAGGCGACAACGCACAACTGGTGCTCGTTGTTACATAAAAGGCAACCTCGCCCTCTCTTCGTCATCATCTCAAGGCATCATCATTAATATAACATCATCAACTGCATCTTTGGAGTGTGTGGGCGTAAGTGTAGGAAAAAGGATCACGAAAATCTAAAAAGGAATACCGAAAAAAAGAAACATCTCGGAGAGGAGCATCTCGCACCTAAAAGCGGAGCGTCCGAAGAGGAGCAGCACAATGAGCGTCTTCGACGACTTCCAACGCCTGTGGATGCAGCGATTCCCGCAGAGCTCCCTGTCCGATGCCTGGGAACAGGATGTTCGGGCCAGTCTCGAGCGGCACAAGTCGCGCATCCACGAGCTGAGCAAGGAACTCGAGCAGGAAACCCTCTACGTGGAGTATCTGGAGCGCCTGCTGTCCGATGTGGAGAAGTATCGCGCCTCGGGCGGAGACCCCACGGCTCTTTTTGAGGCCGCCAGCGGCAGTGGCAGTGGCACCAACAATGGCAGCACCACCACCAATGGAGCTCCGCCAGGAGGAAGTACTCCCAATGTGGAAAAAGAGTTTGTGAGTACATTTAAGAATGATTTACTATATATATAGAGAAGTCCGTATTTGCTCAATTGATTTATAAATATAATATATATGAAGCAGCATTATCTTCATTATCCACCTTGCGCATTGAGCTTTCCATGTATATAGCTTCACCTTTTCGATCGGGAAGGGCTGGGGAATACGACCAGGCGCTCAGCTTTGCGCAGTGGGTGCGTTCAACATCGTCGACTTCTTTTGCAAATGTCATTGCCTGCTTATCAGTTTCGTTTCGAAAGAGAAGAATCGGGGGCAGTGAAGCCAGTGTACAAATTTGTAGAGCGGAGCATTCATTACAAATTATCGATATTATAAACGTATGGAACTGGTTCACAAAATGTTTTTTTTTTTAAGAAATTATATACCTTCAAATAGAGCTTTTGAGTTACATTTGACTTAGCCCGAAGATCGAGGAGAGTTCTGGGTTTCCAAGTTCAGGAACATAATGATCGGAGAGTTATAGTTGTACAAATACAACAACTGATGTTGCTGTTCAAGTACAGTGAGACCTCTGTAAAGGCAAAGGATTGTTCTTAATTTATTTCAATTGAAGTCCAGTATGTAACTGCTCTGGCTGGGAAGATCTTTCCATATGTTTCGCCTGGGGGGGATTTACCTTGTGAATGTTGGACTGTAAGTGCGTTGATATGTCCATGGGCTCTACCACTTATACCACCCGTTCCGATATCTGGAATCGCGGCCTTATCTACCCACAACCACCCGAGTTTTTTTTTTTTTTTATACTCAACGCGAGTTTGTCGGGTGTGTGTGTGCTCAGTATTATTTTCTTTAGCTTTTCGCGCTGCTGCTGGCGTCGCTGCATATATTGTCATATATTGTCGCCAGTATAGTTTTGGGTGAATAACAGTGACGGGACACCGGACGGATACGGGTCGCCCAAATAAAATATCTATGCAGTGAAAAGTGAAAATAAAATTCGTACTTGTGAGTTGTTTACAACTCGAGAGAGAAGAAAAACGGAAAAGCGCCAGAACAAAAGCCCAATTGAACACCTGCGAAAAAGGGGGAAACCGAGGGCAAACAATAACAAAAAATTACGTAAAAATATTAATAATTTTTTTTCGCATTCGTAGAGCTCCGTCTTCCGTTTTTTTTTCGCGCGAGTGTGCGTGTGTGTGTGTGTGTTTGTTAACGTGTTTTCGGTTGACTCAAGTTTCGTGGTCGCCTAGTCATCGTCACTAAGTCGTCGGTTCTCCCTCTTTCCTCCCCAACCCCCCCGAGATTACATAGAGGGTACACTCCCTTCGGAATAATTCTTTATAAATAAAACAAAACAAAGGGAGTATAAAGAAAGTAAAACAACAAAGTGGCGCTGATTCGGGAGCATGGCTTCCTTCAAAGAGAAATTCAAATTATGGTCCAGAGGGGTGCGTAAACAGTTGAGAACTCAACTTCCAAAGACCGCATATATATAGAAAATATTTGAAAATCATAACGAAAACTTAAAAGAACTACGAACATCCTAAAGCCGCAAAACCTTTTGCTGTATTATCACAAGTCGAAATCAATAAAAACTTATCGCGAAATGCCATATAACAAAGCGCATACACAGACAAATCGGTATATCTTGGAGCCTCCATATCAACACATATTTGTATGGCCAAGAAATTAGGCAATAGCGACTAAAAAAAACGTTAGGACAAAAAGCATTTGCTGGAAAACACGAATAATTCCCACTATTTTAAGTTATGAATTCCTTGCAACAGCAGTTAATAGAAAAAATAATAAGAAATTATTTTGAAACATATTTGACAATATAATTTATTTAAAATTTTCTATTATTAAGTATGATATTGTGATTAAATCATTAATTAGTAAACAATCTTCAATAAAAAAGTACACTAATAAAACCAGAATTTAATATTCAATTTTTTTTTTTTTTTGCTTAAACACTAGTGCCTTGTGTTCTCTGTAGAAAGTTATAAAAAAAAGAGCGTCTGGCGGTTAAAAAAGGCGTAAGCAACGCACAGTGTGTCCGCTGATAAGCTGCAATCCATATCAATAAGGCGTTTGGGAGGGGAAGATGGGGGAAAGAAGAAAGGGGCACTTGTAGTTACATGCGGGCGACTTTTGGCCAAGAGATTGCGATTAAAGCAGCCCGTGCGGTATTTTCTTCTGCAATCGACTAACAAAAACACTGAGAACAGCTGTTTTAAGTTATAAAGCACATATAAAAAGTCTTTAGATGACGAAGGGGAAGAAAGTCTTTATCATCACTTAGGGATCACCATGAATTCCAGGGAAAACTACAAATTATTTATCCCTCGTTTCGACATCTATTGATTATAATTGACTCACAATAAAATGCTGCCTGAAAATAACGATTGTCTCATATGTACAGTGCTGCCTTAATTAACACTCATTTGCATGCAGTTTATTTCTATATGTTTTTTAAAAAGTTATTAAAGATCAGTAAAAGAAGAAATATAAAATATAAACAGTAACATTTAGATACATTTCATTTACTATTTTATTCACATTTAAATGTGGTCAGGAAACTTGTGTTCTTTTTTTGTTGTGTTGCAAGCGATGTCGAGGCGTTTCTGTCCCATTTGGAGGACAAGTGTCGGAAAGGGGTTAACCTGCCATTACTCACCCACACAGCATGAGAAAATGCGGCTCTGATAAGCTGTCTATGACCCCAAGTGCCTGTTAATTGAACAATATGCTAAGTAATTGTATCAATGCAGAGAGGAAAAAACTAGAAACGCAAGAGGATGAACAAGCGAGAGCGTACACAGAAAGAAACTGGATTTGTTTGTACACAAATAATAAATAGATACCCCATATTGATAAAATTCTTTAATGTCCATTTGTTGCTATTTCTTTTCGCACAAAATATTTATTTTATATGTAACAAACTGACGGATTCAATGATTTCTCTCTGTGCAGAAGCTAGAGCCAAGTAGCCATCGACCTTCGGGGCCTCAAGTCGCACTTGGGCACGCTTTCTTTATCGTTCCGCTTGGTCACATCCATCCACAGTGTCCATCCATCCGTTTAGACCACCACCCACCGACTTGGCTATAACCCGCTTCCCCAGACAGTTTTCGTTTGGCATTTTTCCATTTTTTTTTGGTAATAAGCGCGTTGTCTGCCTTGATGATGCTCTTTTTATTTATTTATTTTTTCTATTTCATTCGCTGCTTGTTTCCTTTTCTACTTACCCGTGTGGTTTTCACTTTTTTCAAAGCCCCGAAATTGTCGGGGAAAAAGACCTGAAAAGAAAAGAAGAAAGATCCAACGCACGCACGCGTTTTGAGTTCGAGCCAAGTTTGTCGGTTTTCGGTTTTTAGCCATTTAAAGTGGAGAAACGGCTCGAATCGGAATGAAATTATATGAAATGAAATGCGCTACGTGCTTCGAATCTCCACAGAAAGCAGTCTTAAAAATAGTTTGCCGAGGCGTTGGCGCCCTTTTGTGGGTATTTGCTTTTGGCATTAGAGTTTCCCGAATAATTAGCAATTGGCCAGATTCTCGGTTGCTCCCGATTTGGTTCTGCTACCGATTTCCCCAGCATTCTTATTTGTTTTGCATATGTAAATTTAGCTTACTTATACGGTAGCATTTGGCATAATTAAACTCTCTTAACGAAAACCATTTAGCTTTTACCTCGGAAGAGATGATATTCATTGTATTGTATTCTAAATATATGTGTCTTTTTATAATAACAATATATATAATATATATTCACTTCAAGAAATTATTATTCCTGTAATTATGGGAAAACTCTACCTAAAATACCTTATTCATTAAGTCATCGATGACAAACTGCTTTTCTCGGGAAGAAAACAAGAAGTTCTGAACATCAAGTTCGCTGAGTCGCTCACTTGCCTTAATTGAGTTACATTCATACTGCTTACTGATTGGTTCAAAGATCACTGAATTGATTTGCTCACTTTTTAATTTCTCATTTTTTTTTTTTATGCCCACAGAAATCCAGTTTGAATCTACGTGAGTCCTCCGCATCGTCCGGCGGCAAGGACAAGGACCGCTTGTCCCTCAACACGGACAACAAGTACACAACACACACAAATGCCGCTGGGAGTGGGAGTGGCAGCGGTGCCGGTGGTGCGCCGAGCGGACCGCTCCACTCAGCCCCGCCCACAGGGGCGGGCAAGCGAATAGCGGAGCTCAATTTCGAGCGGGAGGAGCGCGACAAGGACAGCGGCAACGAAAAGGACGCCAACGGAGCCTTGCAGCAGTGCATCACCGAGCTGGCGGCCTCCATAAAGGCTCAGCCGGATAATGGAGCGGTTGGCTCATCAGGAGGAGGATCATCAGGAGGCGGTGGCGGTGGCGATGTCGAAAAGGAATCGAAGCAACAGCCGCTGCGCAAACCCACATCGCAATACGTCACCGTCATCCAGGTCAAGGAGACCAAAGAGAAGGAAGGCGACGATGAAGCCAGCTCCTCGTCGGGGGTCAATGACCCACAGCAGCAGCAGCAACCAACGCCGCCCTCCACATTTGCTCGGTATGCGGAGCCCACAGCTCCTCCGCTGTCGCCATCGCTCACCTCGTACGCTGCCCACGTGGAGGCCAAAAAGAAAATGCCACCAAGGTGAGCAATACCTTCCTGACAATCCTCTCTAGTTTGGTTTTTTTGTGAATATGTTCTTACATATGTTTTATACCCTCGCAGACCTCCGCCAAAGAACATTCGGCGCGTGGAGCCGCCCACCATTCCCAGCCAGCAGTTGTCGTCGTCGCCCAAGCGGGAAACTCCATTTGTGGGCAGCACGATGCCACTGCCAAGCAGTTCCGGCGGCAGTCTCTCCTCCGATAGTCCGGGCAACTCGCTGGAGCGAAATATCAAGCCCTCGGATATACTGCGCCAGAAGTCGTCCGAGAATCTGGACTCCAAGTACGCGGCGAACCGCAAAACCACACCGGAGTTGGGCAAGTTTGTGAATGTGAACAACCCCGAGCTGATGGAGGAGCTCGGACGCAAGATGGTGGGCAAGACGGACAGCCTGGAGCAGGCGAAGCGGAACGACTCCTCGCCCTCCGGCGGCGGGAGCCTAGGACGCACTGCCTCCACACCGGGTCGCTCGCTGACACCGGGCAGAACCGGCGTGGGTGCCTCGCCCACTGGCAGTCTGAGCAAAACCGCGAAGTTGGCAACGGCGGACAGCAGTTCGACCAGCAGTCTGGAGAAGAAGTCGCGCACCTGCCTGCAGGCCAGCGATGCGGAGGGAGGATCGGGTGCAACGGGGGCGAACCAACGGACTGCGGGCTCCAAGGAGTCGCTGGCATCACAGGGCATATCCGAGGTGGTACGTCCTTAACTTGAAAATGAAGTATAAAATTTGTTTACTAAACTAACGATGAATTGAAATCTTGCGCAGATCAAGAGCTACGAGAGTGTCTCCTCGCTCAGTTCGGATAGCGCCAAGGCGGCGACGGCGTCCCAGCAAGCGGCGGCGACGGCAGGAGGAGGAGGAGGAGCAGCGACGGCGGACAACGAGCCGTACTACGATAGCGTGCCGCTGGACAACGGCGACGGGGAGTACGTGTTCATCAAGCCCGGACGCACTGGTTCCTCCTCGAGTCGCGACGATCTATCGACGCCCGGCAGCAGCACTCTGCCCCTGGCCAATGCGGCGGATCCAGAATCTCCAGGCAGGACCTCCAACTACGTGAACATCGACTACTTCCTACAGTGAGTTTCTACAGTGAGATTCAGTGGAGATATCTGGTAGATTATCCTAATGCTTTGCATAATTTTGCAGGCAAAGCAATGAGACGCGCTCCAGTTCGCTGGACAGCGATGGGGAGTACGAGGGACCGCCCATATTGCGCACCATTTCGCACGACGAGCAGACCACGTCACAAACTACACCGGGAGCACTTCGCAAGGTTCGTTGTCAGTTGTCAGCTCACGGATGAACGCCTCTCCCACTATCCAGTCATCCAGTCATCCAGTGCCCCTCCAACTTTTCCCACCAACTTTTGTAGCCAGCCCAACGTTGTCATTCGTTGTGTATAACCACTATAACCCAATCATCGTTAGTCTCTAGATTCCCAGCTTCCGACTCTCCAGGCCAAGCCTAAAGCTAAAAAGACTAGTGTTGATGCAATCCAATCCCCAATGACTATAAGATGACTAAGCGCACGCTTTGCCACTTAACATAACTTGCTAATCCATTTCAAATTGCTGTTGCTTCAAGTATCTGAATATTTTGGAAGATTGAAAGCCATTTTCTCCTAAATGAATTTCAAAATTTCTTACTCTTTTTATTTTCCTTTTGGGTTACAAGTTTGACTGGCTTTAAATTATTAATAACCGATAAATTTATATTTATAAACAAGAGAATTTCAATGTATGACATGTTGAATCATAAGTTCAAGAACTTAAGATTAGGATAAGATTGCGATTTAAATAATCAAAATAGTTACACAATCTCTATAACTCTTTAAACCTACACCCCAACCTTATCAACCTTAACCATTTACAATTTATAAGTTGATATTTACTTACTAATACCGTACTAACCAAGATTTTTCCTTTCTGTTCTCTTCTTCCAACAGAACTTAGTTTCAGCGATACTTGTGAGTACCCGATCAGGATTTTAAAGCTTAGCCTTCAACCCACTCACAGTGGATGCTTGATAAGATGGACTTGTTGTTAGTGATCCACCCATCGCAAGCCTCCACTGCATTGTTCATTCATCCCTGTATATATATATATATATAAATACGAGTATATATCTGTGTACATAATCTGTATGTCTAATGCTTTTGAATGCGCTTGTTTTCCAAGTTCATAGTGTGTATGTTCCCTATTTGAGTTCTGTCTTCGTTTGCGCTTCAGTTTACGTCCACGAGTTCACCCATTTATTTGTTCGTCACGATTGTATATATGCACAAGATCGCAAGATCAATTTCCTCTATATTATATGGTCCTTCTTACTCCCATTTGTTGCGCACCAAACAGCGTTTTCCTGTCTCTGTCTCATCTAGTTCATGCCTGACTTTGGTTCGCGTTCAATGTTTAGATAGCCTTGCAAGCATAAGTTACTAGTGTCACTATCTTGCCCAATTATATGATAGAAATGTAAGCGATAAGAACGAGTATACAATTTGCAAGGCTATCGAACGAAGCGACTTGTATTTAGCTTTGGAAATGGTTAGAAAGGGTTTTAGACACTTACCTATTACCAATTACATTTCTGTGTGGAAACATTCCCCTCGCACAACTCCCATTTCATCCAAGTTTTTGGTTCTCCCGTTTCTTAGGTTAGTGGAAATGCCCGCGGTGCCAAAATACGATCCATTCTCAGCTCGATTATTCAGAGCGAGACGATATATGTGGAATGCCTTAATAAAATGATGCAGGTGAGTAATCCAGCTCCAAGAAGCTTATATTATTATTTAACTTGTAATACTTGTTATTTTGAATAATATTTAACTTATAAAATGGCTAATTAATATTCTTACCAAATGCAGTACAAGAAGGCCATCCACGCGACCCTAAACACATCGCAGCCTGTGATCAAGGAGGAGGAGGAGAACACGATCTTCTTCAAGATCGACGAGCTCTACAATCTGCACACCGACTTCCTCAGGGACTTGAAGACCATCGTGTCGCACGAGGGCGGCGATGTGCTGATCGGGGAGCCATTTCGTCGCCTGGCGGAGATGTTCGATCTCTACAGCGCCTTTCTGCACAACTACAAGAACGCCATCGAGACGGTGAAGAAGTGCAGTGCGAATAATCCGCAGTTCAAGAAGATCGTCTCGACCATCGTGGTCAATCTGCAGACGGAGCAATCGCTGACGCTCGAGGATCTGCTGCACAAACCGGTGGCGCGGGTGCAGATCAATGCGCTGGTCTTCAACGATTTGCTGCGCGAAACCCCCAATGCCCATCCCGACCACCAGCCGTTGCGGCAGGCGCAGAAGATCATCCAGATGTTCCTTAACCAATTCAATGTGGTCAACCAGCGACTGCCGAGCGAATCGAACCGGAATCTGCGGCGCATGGTGCGCAATTCGTTTATCGTCGAGCTGGTCGATGGACACCGCAAGCTGAGGCACCTCTTCCTGTTTAACGATGTGATCGCCTGTGCCAAATACAAGGGGCTGGGACGCGACCGCATCGATTATGAGCTCAAGTGGTTCATTCCGCTGAAGGACATATCCATTTACGAGGAGGCGGATCCGGCGGCCGAGCTGAAGGAATCTAGTCCCGCGAACATTTCGCAAGTGAAGCGCAACCTGCGCTCCGTTCGAGACCAGTTGGCTTTGGAGGTGGCCAACAGCGGTGGTGGTGGAGTGCGTTCCGGCGACAAGTATCGCCGCAAGCTGGCCGATCTGGAATCCGCACTGGTGCTGGCGACGCCCAATCTGGTGCTGCGGCTGGGCAACAAGGCGAACAACAAGACCATGACTTTCTTCCTCAGTTCGGATTTCGAGCGGACGCAGTGGATCGACTCGATTACCTCGCTCAAGGTGAGTTATCTATCCTAAAACCCAACTAACTAACTAACTAATACTTGCCTTATTTTTTTGTAGCAAAAGTGCAACCTGCCTGGGGCCAATACCATCAATTCGCTGGAGGTCACCGCCTTTATTGTGGCCATGCAGAAGGGCATGAAGACTGAAATGGGTTCGTATCTGATGCGCAACACCAACGACGAGAGCCTGCTGGTCGGAGATCTGCACATGGGTGTCCAGGGGCTCAGTGGCCTGGAGCAGGCTGCTGACTTGTACATCTGCATCGAGGTGGACTCGTATGGCCATTATTTCCGCAAGGCCACCACCAAAATGGTGTGTCGCAGCCAAACGCCGCTGTGGAACGAGAGCTTCATGCTGGAGCTGGAGGGCAGCCAGAATGTGCGAATCCTCCTCTACGAGGCCAAGGAACGGCCGCTCCTAAGGGCCAAGCACATACTCAAGGTGCGTATTTTGTAAACATAAAATATGATAATATAAACTTAACCCAATATCTATCTTTTTATTCCGCAGTTGAGTCTTAGTTGGCTCACAGAAACCACGCAGCCGCGAACAATTAAGCTGAGCGAGACTTTGGAGCTGGGCTGCAGCTTTCGGTTCGTTCCCGGCGAGCTGTGCCGCGCAACCACCAAACCAGGAGCCCTTTTCGGTGCCAAAATGAGTCAAGTATTAAAGTGAGTATAGATGATTCTTACCATGATTCGTTCTCTTCAAGTTATTTGGATTTGTAACCCATTTAGACGCGAGAAACGCGACATTCCGTTTATCATCAGTGCCTGCATTCGGGAGGTGGAGCGACGGGGGATGCTGGAGGTTGGCTGCTATCGCGTTAGCGGTTCTGCCTCCGATTTGACCAAGCTCAAAAAGGCCTTTGAGTCGGGTAAGTGTTTTCAATTCTAAAGGATTAGAACAATAACATACTAATTAAAAATAAATCTTATTTAGATGCTTATGAGGCGGAGCAGCTGCTACGCGAAGTAGACATCCATTCGGTCACTGGTATTTTAAAGACTTTCCTGAGGGAGCTGCCCGAGGCCCTATTCACGGATCAGCTGTATCCGCGATTCTTCGACACATTCAGCGCCTTTAGCAATAACAACGAAGCCACGCGAATCAACGAGCTGCTTAAAGTCTTCGAGGAGCTGCCACAGGCCAACAAAGCCTCCATCACCTCGATTCTAGATCATCTAATAAGGTGGGTGTTTAGACAGGAATGCTTTTAAAGTAATGGTTACTCATTCATTTATTGATTCACTCTCCAATAGAGTCCACGAAAAGGAGGCGGACAACAAGATGTCGCTGCACAATCTGGCCATGGTGTTTGGACCCACACTGTTGCGGCCAGGACAGACGCAGGTGAAGCAGAAGGATCCGTTGGCGGCCAGCACTGTCGATGTGATGGCACAGGCTGGCATCCTCTACTGCTTCCTGCAGGCGCGCCTCAAGAAGGATTCGAATTGAGAAAGCCGTCAGCGCAAATATACATATGGAACATATATATATACATAAATTATATATTTTTTTTACATAACAATAGCAATAATACGAACGAAATTCGATTGATAGCCTACGCATACACCACGCCCCCACCTGTCTGGCACGCCCCCCTGCACAAAACGCCTAAAGAAAACCTCTTCAACACCTGAGAATCGCCTCAAACACATGAAAATTGCCTAAAACACACACTTTTCCACACATGCGCTGCCAATTGTACATACCAGAAAACCGATAATGCAAATGAAAACTGAAGATAAGGATGGATCTGGAGAGGAATACGAAAGTCCGTGGATCGAATGAATAGTCCAGGGATGTGAACAAATCTGCTCAATGGCGGGCTCACCACACACACAACACACATCAACAACACACACCTGGGATGATCAAGTGTCTAACACTAATTAGCTGCTCCTCCGCTTACTAAATATTATTCCCATGTATTACAGATATATCCGTAGATCTGTAGACTGTATGCTTTACCTTTAGATGCGAACCTTAAGCTTACTGCAACTATTGCAACTGATAACAAAAACAAAAACAAGAACAACAAAGGGAAATCAGAAAATTTGCAAATATTTTCAATATTACACGTATATATCTAGAGACATATATATATATATATATACCTAACTATATATAATTAATTATTATTGCTAGTACTATAATTTACTAAAGTGAGGTAGCGAGTTTTTTCGGCTGATTGATCAATGATTGATATACGATGTACGATGTATGTGTTTGCTTATTAAATGCTGTTTTTTTTTCGTCTTGTTTTATATTAATTACTTAGGTTTTATATAAACAGAAGCGTAAAATAAATATATTCTATTTAGAAACTGCTATCAAGACTCTGTATTTGAAACTCAATGAAGTACACAAGGCAAGTTTTTTGGCTCTGCAAATTATAATTTATTTTTATTATAACTTGTACTTTATATACAATAGAATCAAACTTTAAGCTTATTAAAAACGGAGGACTACTGCTCCTCCTCCTCGTCATCATCTTGATTTGGCTGCACACTGCCCTCCACATCGAAGAACGATTTCCTGCTGCGTTTGGCCGCCGACGCCGCCTGGCTATCCCCGAACTTGGCTGCCGTCCGCTTGCGAAGCTCCTCCACATCTTGACTGTCATCGTTGGCGCTCCACTCGAGCACCAAACGTCGTCCGTAGAGATGCGTACTAGCACTTAAAGCGTCAAAAGCCCGCTTGGCCTCAGCCTTGCTCATGTAGTCAACGAAACCGAAGCCGCGATGGGCCTCCTCACCGGTGGTGGCCTTCTTCGGAATCCTCAAGGAGCGCAGCTCGCCAAAAGCCCTGGAAAAACGGATTACGATCAGTGACAACAACAAAATAGCCGCATGCAAGAACAAAACCCACTTAAATATATCTCGAACTTCGCGGTATTGCGCCTGGAAGGGAATATTCCGCACCAGAATTTTAGTGCCCGTTTGTTTCTTTTGCGAGGCCAGTCGACGTTGTGCTCCTTCATTGTCTTGGGTCCTAAAAAATAATATAGAGTTAACAAGGTGAAACGTTCAAAAGAAATCAATTCGACTTACTTGAGCACTCGATCGCTGCGCTTTAGCTCCACAGGATTACCATCGATGTGGGTGAGCTGCATGTTTTTCAGTGCGTGCTCGGCCACTGAAGCCTTCTTGAACTGAATGAAGCCGTAGCCCAAGGAGTTAAAGTTGCGAGGATTCTCGGGATCTCTCCGTTTGGCTATCTCCACGGTGTGAATGCTGCCCAAGTGTCTAAAGTGCTTCACCACGGTTTCCTGCACGGTCTTGAAGTTCAGATTGCGCAGGAAGAGTGTGGTATTCGGCTCGGGCTCATCATCCGCATCCTCCGCCTTCGCCTCCTCCTTCACATCTTCCTGCTCACTCACTTCCGGCTTCTCCTTTTGCTTTGGCTCCTCCTTGGGTTCTGGCTCCGATTTGGGAATCACAGGCTCGCCACTTAACGTGGTGGTGAAGACCTGCTCAGGAGCCCACTCCAAATAGAGCGGCGCGTTTTTGAACTTGCTGTAGGCCAGCTTCTTAAAAGCCTGTCTCGCTTCCATGGGATCAGAGTACTCAATGAGCGCCGTGACGCCACTGGGAGGCAGCACGATCCGGCCAATTGGACCGAAACGGCTGAAGATGGGCGTCAGCTCCGAAACCTCGGTGGCTGCGGGCAGGTTTTTGGCCAATATCACAGTGTTGGAGCGTTTCTTTGCGGGCTCATCGAAGGCGTTCAGCCGGACGCCCTCTTCCTCCAGAAAACGCTTCATCTCGATGACGATTTGGGTTTCGCCCAGAGCCAAACGCACAGCAGCTCCACTGCCGCCGTCACTGGTGTCAAGGATACGTTCCTTGGAGGTCTTGAATTGCTTGGCCAGAATGTCGGCAACAGCATTTGCCCCGAGGAAAAGGGTGTTCCAACCAATAGGCTTCTGTGCGCTCTTCTTGAGCTTCAAGGCCTTTTTCTCCTTGAACGACAGACTGGCATCGTTTTCATCCAGATCATCCTGAGGGCTCTTCTCGATATCCTTACCAGGCAACAGGTGCAAAAGTCGCCCATGGAAATCGGTGCCATCCAAAGCATTGAATGCCTTCAAAGCGTGTTCCGGCATCATATAGGTTACTGTTCCGAAGCCCTTTATCTTGCGGGTGAGCTTGTCCACCGGCAGATTCACCTCCACCACGGGTCCAAACTGCTCGAACAGCTTCCGCAGATCCTCTTCCGTTGTGGTGTAGGCCAGATTCCTAAAGAATATTCTTCCCGACTCTGATATGTCGTCCTCTTTGGACAAACTGTCCTGCTGGTGTTTCCACTTTGCATTGCCCGCATCCGCGGCTGCGGGTGCTACGGCTTGACCACTTTTGCTCGCCTTGGTCACCTTGTTCTTTTCGGTAAAGTCAGAGAAGAACACCTGCTTGCCCTTAATGAAGCTCTTGTTCTTCAACATTCCTTTGGCCATATCCTTTTCCGTTTTGAAGCCCACGTAGCAAAAACCATGCACTTTGCTAGGCAAACGCACGGAGTAGGGTTTCAGGGGCTTAAAGAACTTGAGCACCTCCTGGCGCTTTGTGTTGTAGGGCACATTGTGGATTTTGATGGTGAACAGCTCCAGGTTGGATTTGCCCGTCTTGGTTTTCGTCTTCTTGGCGGTGGTATCACCAGAAGTGCTTCCCATCAGGGACTTCATGTACTCTAGATCGCTGATGGGCTTCTCGGCCAGTTTACTGGTGTCTTCCTCTTCTTCGTCCGCCTCATCTTCTGTGGCATTTTCATCGCCTGCATCTGCATCTACTCCACTGTCATCCCTGGCAGTTGGTGATTCCTCATCCTGTTCGGCATCCTCTTCGTTTTCATCGTCTTCCTGGTTGTTACTCACCCCCAAATCGTTGCCCCACAAGGTACGTGACTTGTCATGTGCCTGCAGAAACTCCTGAAACTCGGGGTCGTCTTTGTGCCTGCCCAGAATCTTTTCCACCTTTTCTTTGTTCTCCTTAGTCTTCTTTTTCGACTCCTTGGACTTGGCCGCCACAGCCTCCTGCTCTTCCTTAGCCTTCAGTTTTTCAAGGTTCTTCTTACTGTCCTTGGCATACTTGCTCCAGGACTGAGGCTTCTCCTCGCTACCCAAAGCAGCACAGGATTCAACGCGCACTCGGCTTGTTTGGATGCATGTGTTGTTAAAATGCCTTATGGCCGATTGCGCCTCCTCCTCGGAGCTATAGCCCACAAAGCAAAATTGCCGGAACTTTCCATCTGGCGTATACTTTAGCTGCAAGTCTGTGATCGTTCCCTGGGCACCGAAAATCTGACGTAGTTTATCCTCGGTGATCTGAAAAGCGGTTTGTAGAGCTTTCTTACCAAGATAAAAATTTAAGACCAAAACACTTACATGCTTGGGAAGTTGTTTCACTATTATTCTTGACATTTTTAAGCTTTTCCAACTGGCTAAGGCTTATAAATTAATTCAAACGCATCTTTGTTTACGAATCGCACGCGGCACGTGTAATAGAGGTGGCGGTAAATTAGAGATGGATGCGAAATCGATATATCGATCAATTTTATGGTCGGTACATATCGATATACTGACTTACCACTCGCAACGATCGATTTCCGATAGGTTGGCGCATCCTTTTGCCAATCGACGCTTATAAGCTACGGTTAAAAAGCTTAAGATAAAGACCGATTCAGTTAGAATCAGGCAAGTAAGATAATGGCAAGTGATAGTTGTTTAGTGCTTGGTTATGTGCAACAGTGTTACGCCTTCAATGGCTTTTTGATATGCGACTCCGACCTGTTGGATTTAACCCGCTGATGTACACATGTAAGTCGTTAAAATAACAAACGGTATTCGTAAATTTTGTTGAATGAACTAAGAAGTATTTCTTTATATAAATCAGCTTATTATAATAAAATGAAAAATATTAACAATTCAATTTCCCTGCATGACCTATAAACTTGTTTAGCATAAGGTAAAATCAGCTAACAATGATAAACTGTGCAATGTTTAATCCATCATACCTGTTTGTTTTAGGTATACTTTATTTTAAACACTCCTTTCGCACTGACGAAACCCACTTAATATATATGTACAAATTAATAACAAAACAGGCCTAGAGATATTTGTAGAGATTAGCTGACACTTTGATATGCTTTAATGCATATTGTTTGCAAAAAAAAAAAAAAACAAAAAGGGATAAGAACCAACTAGATTGTTTATGGGCAAGCTTAACCAACAATTAACGAATTCGGCTACCCGACGGTTAGATAATTTAACGGTAATTCCATTACAGGTGTAAGCTGGTCCAATCACTTTTTGAAGCAGATCTTGAGTATTCGGATGACGGGTGCTTCAAAGAAGGCCGATATTACAAAGGCCGAGCCAAAGGACACGACGGCGTTGCCCAGGAACAGGGTGAGGATAAGGGGATTGCTCAGATGGACTGTGCCGCTCATGTGCGAGGAGCAAATGAACATGATGATGGGATGGATCAAGTAGGCGCAGTACGTGAGTCGTGAGAGTGGCCATAGAACTCGATATGACAGGATCGCGTTTACGGTGGGCGCCAGTCCCCAGCAGCAGGACAGCACGATCCAGACCAACCCACAGCCAAAGGCGGTGTGGGCCACGCCCACATAGAAGGCGCTACTGACGGTGCTCAGCTGTCCCTCCCAAACGCCAAACACAACGACCAGGAGCACAAACAGGCTGCCCGCCCAAAGGGATAAGTTCAAGCGCCTGGACACCAGTGGCGGGGTCTTCACCTTGTACAAAATGTAGCCGGCACACATACCTAAAACATAAAATCAAGATTCAGTCGGGTGAGTTAGAGCAAAGTTTACCATAGTTAGTTTAATATAATCATTATTTTAATGTTTTTTTTCTCAAGTCTGGTAAACCCTATTTTTGTCCAATTTTAATCCAATTAGAAAAAGTCATAGCTTTATTAAATTTCAACCGATTTCGAAGGGGAATAACTCCATTGATTTGCTAAAAATTCCATTTAAATCTGAGCCAGGTTGTTTTTGGCAATTTCTAAGCTTACTTACCCACTATATAAGAGCCCACTCGCTGCCAAGGTTTGTCATACAGAAAATCAAAGGACTCGAAAGGCAGTGCTACTTTGTGGGTGTACTCGTGCTGCAGGGAGATAATACCCGAAATACTCCACGAGCTGAGCAGAAAGACAGTCAACGTGAGAGCCACGGCTTTAAAGTATCTAAGGATAATGTGTTAGGGAGTGCAATTAATGGAAAAAGAAAGTAAGAGAAGTACAACTCACTTTCTGGCCAGGGCCAAGAGCAGAGCAGCCATCACATAGAACTGCATTTCGTTGGCCATGTACCAGCTCCACATCATGCACATCTCCGTTTGTGGAAAGTAGTTGTTTATGTACAGAATATTGCGCCACCAGTAGACGCGGCAAGTATTGTGCTCTATTTTTGCCGGCTGAAATACCGACGAGTCCAGGCCTTGTCTGCAAAAAGCAAACCACATTTAACTATGGTTCTAAAATAATAAAAGAGGTTTAGATGAATTGGTCTCACCTCACGGCAAAGTCATTAAAGATGACCACAAAGAGATAAACTGGGGTGAGTCGCAGATAGCGATAAAGCAGCATCATAAATGTCTCCGAAAAGCTGCGCTTTATGAAGAGGCAGGTCTCCGCGGGGTGTTTGCGATCCTGCTTGAGGTAGAGCAACGTGACCAGCAGGCCGCTGATGAAAAAGAACGAGTCCACCGAAAAGGTGGCATTGCCAATCACCTGATACCAAAACGAACGCTCTGTGATGACCCTTTCAAACTGGGTTTGATCAAGTTAATACATATATATATGGTTGGCCGTCACAAGCCAATGTGTATAGTTACTTTATTCTCGCCAATGGCAAACATCTGAAGATAGGTGTGCACCATCATGGTCCAAAGAACGGAAAAGACTCGCAGGCCGTGCAGGCAGGAAGTGTGGGTCTGTTGTGAAAATTCAACAGTGGCATATAATTTCATTTTGAAGTATACATTACCATCGTGCTTACCTCCTTGGTCTTGTCGATATTCAGAATGGCCTTGGCATTCGTTTGCAAGGCGAAGCACAAGAGTATTTGTTGGTGCAGGGCTGGAAAATATCGAGTTTGTAAGGAGGAGGTTGAGTGATAAACACATCACTTGCTAAAGCAAGAACTTCTTAATAGGGTATCAAGTCTGGAAGCATCACTCACCGATGGGCTGCTCAGCCTCATAGGTTCCGGTGGCTCCGGCACAGCTCCCCGTTTCCACTTGGTAATCGGTCATTTCAGACTTGCCCGCCAACGAACCCGTCGAAGCGGAGGTGTTGGGGTCACAAGCCACACCGGAAACACCATCTGGCATTTCTGTTGACTCTCCTCCAGATCGTTGTCTATTCCCGTTGACCGCGATTTCGGGTCCATCTGCAGCCGTAATTGTGCTGCCCAACGGGCGCATCTGAAAGAGCTCAAAAGGCTTGCCATAGAAGCCACCATTCTTGTTCGACGTTACGTCGCATTTGCCGCTGATGGCCGAGATCGGAGCCACCACCAGACGGCGTTCGTCGATCTTGAGCTGGTAGTAGGATGCCACCAGGATAACCAGAAACAGGGTGAGCATAAAGCTACTGTAAGGAGCATTAAACATTGCACTGCAGGTACAGATATATTGTCTTTGATGGCAACCTACATGAACACCTGGAACTTGAGCTGCCGCCAGTGACTGTAAAGTCCGGGCACAGTGCGTACGTGCAGGACCTGGAGCGGGGGCTGCTGCACCGAGGTGTTGTGTGCCCCCAGGACAGTCAGCATTCGCGCATAGGGATCCAGGGACAGAATGGACTGGACGTCGTGTGCCGAGCAGGATTTGGGCAGGCACTCGCCCAAACTCAAGAGCATCTGAAAAGGGATATTAAACACTGGTGCTGAAACTGAATAAGGAATAAGAAACCCACCGATCGATTGAGCTTGGGCAAATGGAGTGCCACATCCGCCACGAAAAATTCCAGATCGAAGTGCTTGCGCTCCTCGTTGGAACTCTGGCGGTTGAGTTCGTAGCAGAAGACCAGCTGGCCCAGCCATTTGTCGTTGCCAAAGAGCAGCTGACCACGATAGCGACCAGACGAGTCGTAGGCTAAAAGGTTTTACATATATGTAAATGAAATTCAAAGCCAAGAGGAAAGACTCACCCTTTTGTGCCCACTCGTAGCTGGAGTGCAGGGCCGTCAGATAGGCCTGCATCTCGAGGCCGCAGCCTGTGCGAACACTGGTCCGAATCTCGGATATCTGCCAGTAGAAGTGGTCATACAGATTGGCCACCAGTTGGAAGTAGTTCGCCTGGCCGTAGAGGCTCTCGGCAATGCTGCCATTTCCGGTTCCGTTCGCATTGGCGCCGAGGTAACGATTGATGCTGTTTATGGTGCTGCCCAGGGTCTTCAGCTGCATGTCATCGTCGCCACTCTGCTTGAGCAAATCGCGTCCCAGTTTGGGCGCCACTTGGGGCTTGCTGCGCAGGATTTTCAGGATATGAGTACCGGAAGTGGTGCTGCCGGCGGCGCTAGTAGTTGTAGTTGCAGCCGGCGGAGTAGTTGTCCCCGGCGAAGTGGCCGTTGTGAGTTCCGTGGAAAGCTCTGCTATGTCCACATCCACGGTGTCATTCTCGTCCGGATTGGAGGAGGGACTGTAGCCGGTGTCCGAGGCCAAGACATGCTGCTCCTGGCTGCTGAGATCCCCCTTCTTGATCACCTCGTGCTCCAGGTCCTCCAGATCTCCCAGGTTGAAGTCGAACGTGACTGGGTGCAGCTCGTACTCCTTGAGGGGATGCTGCGGCTTCACATACTCAATGCTCGGCAGGATCTTCTCCAGCGGCAAGTAGGGCTTCTTCTTGAGCGGCTTGAGCGGCAGGATCTCGTGGGTGTTTAAGACAAGCGGTGGCTCGGAGTCCGCTTCCTGCACTTCATGCAGGATGGTTATGTTATTGTTGTTCCCGCTCGCGAACCGATGTCCTGTGAGGGCCTCTGCCTCCTGTTTGTGCGTCCCATTCGAGCACTCGGCAATCGAGGAGCAGGCGATGAGCAGTAGAAGAGCCACCAAGGCAATTCTTCGGTTGGTTTGCATATTTGCCACTGTGCGATGGAACTCCCTCCTTCCTCTGCTCTCCACTTTGCCGCTTTGCCACTTCTCACTGGAATCTGGACTATTCTTGTTGTGGATCTGCTGTTGAATCTCTGGTGTAATGCTCGGCTAATCTCTGGCCTGCATGGTCTTAGGTGTTCTGAAGTTTTTCCCGCGGGACGCAGTTGTGCGCACAGTTGTCTGCTCCTCTGCGTTCCTCCGCTGTCATTGTCGCAATCTCAGATTCAGTTGGTCAGTCGGTTCATTGGTGATCGGCTGAAACGAAGGCTTCGTCGTTTAAGAGCTTCAAGGATTTCGTATTTCGGATTTCGGATTTCGGATTGGGTGCACGAGAGCTTCGATTGGACTTGGCTGCACACACTCGGATAATCTTGGACTTTGGTGCGCTTCGCGTAATTTTCACTTGTTTATGAATCGATTTTCGGTTTGATTTGTTTCTAGGCAGACTGGCTCCGTTTCGGAGGCTGTCTGTGCAACACAAAAACAACAAAAAAAAAAAAAAGAAGGCGGCTAGGGGAAAATTGCAAAATTTCCTGAAAACCGAAAGAGAAAAACTTGTTAAACGTGTTGTGACCACCAGTCGTGGTCGTGGCCAAGCTGGAAAAGCGTCGACGCGTCGGGAGGTTATTGGTATCATTGCTTATATAACTTCCGCGTATCAATTCGCCAAGATGGTGTGACGATTGATCATCGCCTCCATCCACTCTTGCTGTTGCAGCACATTATGCAATTTGGTTTTGATTGGTCAAGGAGAACCCTACATATTACATATGTTTGATTTATTCACGCGAATCAAATAAGAAGTTAAGTTCTGTCTGCTTTTGCTTCAAAGAAAGTTTTTGGCTCCCTTTTAGAATGGAAAAGTGAAAGGTGAGGATTGGTTTTGTGTATGTAAGGAAACACTCTTTAGTGCTTGGCTGCTTTGTGCTTTGCAGCTCTCAATTGTGTTTCCCCACCAAAACGAACAAACAACAAAAATAACACAATCCAAGTGGCAATTGGATGGACAAACATGTGTGCAAGCCTAAGCCAGGCCAATCCAAGCAAAACCGAGCCAATGCAAAGAGAAGCAAACCGAAAAGTGTGTGTTTTTCTGGACAGGTCTTGTTGTCTTCTGTTTTTCTTTATTTTTAGTTTTTTTTGGGCTAGACCACCGAAGACAACCGAACCGATGAAAGTAAAAACCGCAACTGATCAAGCGCCACCAGCGTTGGCATCTAAGAGCTGGGAGCTGGGAGCTGGGTACTCGGATTCGGATTCGGACTCGGATTCGTGGCTGTATGGGAGTTTTTGAGTGGAGCGGAGTGGAGCTCCGGTGGAAACCCAGCCGAAGTGTGTGTGGAAAAGCGCTATAAAGCAAACAAGCAGAAGGCATATTATATGTGCGCTCGCAAAAACCAGACAACTGCAAATGCAAACGGCAAGCGGGCAAATGGCAATTGGCAAACGGCAAACTGCAAAAGCAACTGCCTAAATGAAACCAAACGAATGCTTTTTATGAACAATTTTCGCCAGCAAATGCTGGGAGTGTGTGTCTGCCTGTGCCGCGAAAAGAGAGCTGATCTCGCCGTGGATCGGAGTGCTTTGGAGTGGAGTGTGGAGTGGACGGAGGCGAGAGTGGAGTGACCTGATCGAATAACTGGCAGAACTCGCTCCCATATGCATGGCCCAAGCAATTACCACAAAATAATAGCGGCAATAGCGGCCCGACGACAGGCATATAGGCACCTGGCATAAAAATGTCGAAATAATCCAAAATCCAAAATCCAAATCCAATTCGGTCGCACACAATACAATGTCCAATGTCCAGTGGAAAGCCCGTCAGCCACGCCCCTTGGAACACTTTCGATTGCATAAATATTTCTGGGGTGAATCGATTGAGGTCGGTGCTTTCAAATATAGAAAATGGAAAAACCAACTTGCAGTTGGATCGAGGGAATCCTTAAAGATTTTCTTTGAATATCAATGGTAAATCATTTGAAGAATATTAGCCCTGCTTTAGATAATGTATCCTTTATTCAAGGAACAATAATTAATGAACCTACCTTAGCTAATCTCAAGGTTCCAGTTCCCAAAAAGCGTAATCTGGTAAACTGGTCAGATATTCAAGGAAAGGTTGACAAACTGTTTCACGTTTTCTTCCTTTTTTTCCATTGCGTCTGCGTTTAATGCGTAATTGGACTTGGGACTTGGGATTTGCCAGTTGCCACTTGAAACACGAGACGAGAGACTTGAACATGAAATACTTGATTCCACCCGAGATCGCGGCTCAGCGAAATGCGTTAGTTTGGCAATTGGAAATGTTTTTTGTTTTTTTTGGCCAAGCCAGAAGTCAGCAGTCAGCCGCAAAGAAAGCGACTCATTAGGAGATAATCAAATCAGCCGCGAGTAATCAGCATGTTGCAATATTCAATTGATGGAACAAGAGGTTGATATTCATCATTTCCTTAAACGATTTGATGTGAATTCGATTAAGTCAGAACAGCAGAACATATCTCTTGTTTCCGGCCTTAAACTTCCACTTTCGAATCCTACAGCTGGACACCGAGGTGTCTCATTAAGTGTTTCTCTCTGTGCGCAAATGGGCAATGTGCAATGGGCAATGGGTAATGGGTAATGGGCAATGGGTAATGGTCGTCCACACCCCTGGATCCCTGGATCTCGGGGATCAGCACGAGCCGACGAGGCAACCTGGCAACGTTTCCAATGAGTGGCCAGCCAGCCAGCCAGCCAGCCCACTGGGTGATAGTCGTCGTCATTAAGTGAGTGTGCCAGCGAGTGTGGATTGGTAAACGCCGGAGCCGTATTTGTGATGCAATTTGCCAGAAACTCCATGGTTACGCTGGCCAGGCGGTGGAACAACACAACAGCAACAACAACAAACTAGAAAAACAAAACAGCAAACCCAAAAAGAGAAGACAACGAAAAACGAAAAATGAAAAACGAAAAACAATGCCTTGAAGGAAAACCGATGGCCGAAACACGCTAACAAATTTTCTTTGCCAATACCGGAACAAATTGATTGGTTTTTCTTCGTTGACCATTGAGTGTGTTTAAAAGCTTGCTGCAATGCCGCAAATCAATCAAGAATATTCTCGAATATCCATAGTTAATATCCCCGGCGAATAATTAATCTATAAATATAATATAATACTACATTTCAAAGCTGAAAACTGAAATGGTTACCGCCTTTGTCAGAGTATTCGAAAGAAAGGAAATGCTTCGAGTTATTGCAGATTTGGCAACAAGTGAATAATTCCTCTGGATTTCCACAAAAATAAAAACTGGATTTTTAATGGAAACTTTTCCCAAAATGATTCAAGGAAAATTCCCCGTTTTAGTTTATACTCATTAGCCCAATGCCTCGGACGTTGGCCATAATGCTTTTTAATCTTTACACGTTGTCTACTTAGGTTCATCTTGGCCTTTCGTGTTGCACACTTTTGGGCAGACTTTTTCAGTCAATTCAAGCATATTTGTGGGGTTTAATAAGTTAATAGAATTTAATTGGGTACAAACTGGTTCAAAACAATTTTTTATGATTATCAAAGGATTGCTGATTTATTAACCGAATGTTCATACAAATCAATTGGTTTCAAAAAGGTTATATTTTAGATCTAAAAATATTTTTGAAAGTTTCTTAATGACTCAATTGGCCCGGTTTTAGTTTTTGAAATAATATTAATACCACTTTTAATGATACTTCTCTCAGAAATTATGAAAAGTGGATGTCAAGGTTGTTTGAATTTTTTTAAAACCAAAATTAAGAGCATTTCTCAAATGCATGTGGAACCGACAGTCGCGAAAATGAAGACAAATTCGCGGTGCTTCGACGAAATTCTTCCGCTTCTTACGATTTTAGCGCCTAACTACTAACGGTACGACAGAAGACATTAGCCAAATGTCGACGAGGAGCTTAAAGCCCGTGTGTCTGGCACCTGGAAATCGGGAATCTGAAATCTGTAGGCGGAGGAGCCTAGGAGTGCGGCGAGTGGAGTAATCATCATCAGGCCAAATGAAGCTTGGCCCATCTATTTGAGTGCGGAGTTGTTGTGGCAGTGTACAGCTGAAATTCCAGTATTCGCGAGCGGAATGAAGCACAATACATAATCACCGATCTTAATGGCGAAAATATTTTGATAGTTGATGACCCAGAAGCGGCAGAATTAAGACAATGTCTGATCACCATTTGTTGGCTGCGGGGTTACCAGGTCAATGAATCCATCAGTGTGGCCCCAGAGATCAAGCTACCGTTTTCGGATGCTCACCCAAGGATTTCCCTTTCGATAAAAAAAGGGTTGGTCCTTGTGGGTGGGGGGAGGGGAGGGAGGGGAAACCGTTAACTCGGGCCACATCGTTAACATGTGCGGACCATGATCATAACCATAATCGGGATTGTGTGCTGTATGCTAATGCGCCTGTGTCTCCGTCTCTGTCTCTGTGATTTGCATTTTCCCATGGCCCATCAACAATCCCAGAATCCAGTTAGCCAATTCAGCTGGCCAAGTACATGCACTGAAAAAAAAAAAAAACCCAAAATAGCTTGATATTCATTGCCTATTTTATTCCTAAAAATCTTTTTCCTGCACTGAAATGCTGGTAGTCTCGTTAAATGTGTGTTTTAGATTAATTGCCAGGATATTATATTTTCTATGATATACTTGAATATCTTTCTATTTCATTTTTTTTTTTTCGGGGCCTTCTCTTCTGATCCGTTTCAAGCTATGGTCAATTCGTCAATTGGACGCAACTCGGAGCTCCAAGTTTGGCAAAGGTAACGGGTTTCGAGGAGGAGGAGGCTCTCCCTGTTCTCCACTGGCTGCCCAGTTCGTTAGGGGATCCTCCAGCTGTGCCGGTCCTCTTTATCATCTGCATGTGTGCGCTGTCCCTGCGACTCCTCGCGATTCCGATTCAGGGGGCACACCATTGGCCCAGCGATCATCATCGTTGGGGGTCACAGGTGTTCCAGGGACCAATAACTTTCGAGGCTGTCGACCGGCGTTGCGATTTATGGGAATCCCATTTGAAATGGGTCTTAGGAAAGGGCGCTGCAGTTCCCTGGGATTGTGTAATCGTTCCCAGAGTTCAATGATTCGTTCATAACTTATGAGCTTAGTGCAGGAGCAGCTATAATTCAGTACAGGGCACTACACACTACACTTTTTATAGTTTATTATACTTTAATGTTTGACACACTCGTTGGCTTTTCTTTGCTTGGCTAAACCATTCGACTTTCAAAATTCTAGACGAACTTTCTCCTGCGGCGTACAGGTTCTGGCAATCTTAAATCGTTTTTGATTTGAGCGTTTTCGTTTTCAACAGAAGCTTGTTATTTGCAGTGATTGCTTTGCTGCTGATTTCCCATAATTTCGAACCAATTGCCATAAATGGAACTCGGGGCGCATTACCTACTCACCTATCGTGGATAAATATCTCTTGGACGCGCTTAGGCATTCACAATTTGTAGGTCATTAGAACTGCTAAATTTTCTAAATGCTCTTTAATTTATATAATTACATGGCCCAGAACTCGAATTATTGATTGAATAATTTGTGTGTGAGTGTATTTCGTTTCTCTATTCAACTTGGAAAGTGGAAAACCCAGGGCCATAGCGATTTCCGATCTCCGTCCGATTGAACGATTCCCTGATTGCCCGATCTGGGCTTTATGCAATTATGCGGGCCATGCCCTCGAGCTCTTTGATTCGGTCTGGTTCGGTTCGGTTCGGTTCGGTTTGGTCTTGCTTCTATCTACTTATGGCCATAAAGACATAATTGGCCTCAGAACACGGACTTAAGTAAACAAAAGGGGAAAATAATAATTTAATTTGAAATAAAACGAGCGGCGGCCCAATGCTCTGGGTCTTTGCACTCGTGCCTCCGCATTTATCTTTGACCTTTTTTTGGTATTGTGGCTAAATGGGTCATTCGTCAAGGTAACTTTCATTTGTGAGCTGGAAAAACTGAGCGCGGAACGTGGAACGTGGACGCACTTAATCATAATCTCATTCCTGTTCCTATTCTTATTCCTATTCTATGTTTTGTTCCTGTATCATTGGTAAGACAATCCGTCGATCTTGTTAGGCCGTGTGTCTCTCAACCCACTAATTGGTTTTGGATTGGACATGCCTGATTTTCCATTTAACGTTTCCAAGTCAAGGATGTGGGCTGCAAAAC